GTTCGTCGCCATAACAAAAAAAAAAACATAAACGAGCTCGAGGTTGAAGCTTTGTCCGCTCATGGGGAGGGAGGAGGACAAAACACACACAACCAAATGGATGGAATAAACTATAATCAGGAGACTGACCAAATAGACGCTCGAAGGGACTGACATCATGGAGGACTGACGAGGGTAACCGATTAATGCTGTAAACATCAGTTAAGGCTGCTTCCCCCAAAAAACGATCAGGACACTTAGCAGAAAGAAGGAGGGCAAGAACAGTATCGAGAATGTGACGATGTTTGCGTTCTGCCCGCCCATTCTGTTGGGACGTATAAGGACAGGAACGCTGTACCAAGGTACCCTGACTAGATAAAAACTGCAAAAATGATGACGTATTGTACTCATAAGCATTATCAGTACGAAGGACTTTAATAGGACGAGAGAATTGAGTGTGAATCATCTGAGCAAACTGAGCATATATAGAAGGTAATTCATAATGATTTTTCAAAAAATAAATCCAAGTAAATCGTGAAAAATCATCAATAAATATAACATAATACTGAAAACCACTGACGGAAGCAACAGGAGAAGGACCCCAAATGTCAGAATGGACTAAAGAAAAAGGTTCAGTAGCAATAGATGAACTTTCTGAAAAACTAAGAGCAGGTTGTTTGCCAAGTTGACAATCGACACACTTAAAAGACTCAAAACGACCTGGACCTAAAAGACCTTTAGTATGGAGTGACTAGAGCTTACTGGAAGACGCATGACCTAGGCGAAGATGCCAATGAAGACTAAAGGAATCAGAGGTAAGAGCTGCAGAGCGGGGATATGTGCAGGAGGTATGAAGAGACTCAAGTTCAAATAACCGACCCGTTTTGCGTCCCGTCCCGAGAAGCTGACCCGTCTGAGAATCCTGAACCTGCACACCACCAGAAGAGAATGTAATGGTAAGACCTTGTTCAACTAATTGACCAATAGAGATAAGATTTAAGGCTAAGTCAGGGATGCAATATGTATCAGGAAGATATAGGGAAGGGGAGGACACAAGACCCGTGTGGGTAATATGCATGGTAGTACCATTGGCAGTATGTATAGGTGGTAAATGGGAGACATGGGACATATAGGTCAAGTTACGAGGGTTAGAGGTCATATGGTGACAACAACCAGAATCAAAAGACCAAGTAGATGTACCTGGAGTGGTAGACATAACAGAATTGGTTTGCATAACCTGTTTGATGATGGCTTCTATGTTGTGAGGATTGTAAGGCGCATGCTGAGTCTCATCAGTAGTAGCAGTCGTAATCGTAGAAAATGCAGTTGAAGAAGACCCACTAGGCTCCCGAGGTTTGGGAGCAAAGCTACCGGAATGTCTAGGAGCAGAACTACCTGAACGTTGAGATCTTGTGGGACAGACCGGAGCAATATGGCCACGCAGACGACATGAGTGGCACTCAATCTTTGGACAGGTAGACCAAGTATGATCAGGAGATTTGCAAACTCGACATCCAGTTGAGCAGATCGGGACTGGCGAGACACAACTAATGCAGAATCAGAATTCGGTGTCTTAGCCAATTGGAGACGGGTCTCCTCAAAAGTAATCTCCTGAATGGCAGCATCAAGAGTAGGCAATGGATGTCGATGTAGGAGTGAGGCACAAACAGCCTCGTATTCAGGTCGAAGGGCCATCAAGATCTGAATAAGGTCAAGATGGTCCTGACTAATTTGTGACTGCCGGAGACGATAACGAATAGGCTGAACCTGAGCAAGAAATTCATTAACAGACTGACCAGGTTGCTGTCGGGCGGAGCTCATCGTGGTCCAAAGTTGATAATAATGAGCAAGACCTGTAGTCTGAAAACGAGCAACGAGGAAATCCAATGCCTCCTTTGCAGTATCAAAAGGAGTCAATTGTACCTGAATCGCAGGTACAGAAGTATTGCGCAACCAAGTAAGAATCTGATGATTCTTACTATCCCAATCTTCCAATTTGGCAACATAATCTTCATGCTCCCGAGAGGTGGGATCAACATGCACAAAAGGAGATGGAGAGGCAGGTGGCCGGATATCGCCAGTGACAATTCGCCATAACTTCCTACCAATCAAGAAACTTTTCATAGACTGCATCCAAAGATCATAATTATCGCCGGACAAGATAGTAGTAATAGGTAAATGAACGTCCATACGCTCCATAACAAAAAAACGTATAAAAATATGTGAATCACGAAATCAAAGCCCAAATAAAAAAAAAGTAGATCGAACAATCCAATAGGTAGCAGTCGCAAACGAGATCAACTCCGATGACAAAACCAACCACACCACGACGTAGGGACAAAGTAGGAGCCGGCGACCGAAAAACAAAACGACGATCGGAGAAGGGCGGACGATGGACGGCGAACAACGGCGGCGACGACTAGGGTTTTGGTTTTGGAAAACCATGCTCTGATACCATGTTAGAAACTTTGGGGGAAAATAATGAGATTGTCTTATTGATCATCAAAATAAGGAGCCTTTTATATGTCATACAAAATAGACTCGACAGACTCAAATCTAAGTAATCTAATCTATGAATCAGATCAAATCTAGATATATAAATCTACTAAATCTGAATATCTAAAATATCTCAACAATTATAAATATTATATATACATATAAAAGTATAATTTATAAATAAATTAGATATTAATTTAAAATATATAAATAAAATAATTTTAAATTTTCTTTATAATTTATATATAAATTTAAAAAAATAAGACAAACGAGCTCAAACGAACTCAAACAAGCTTAATCGAGCCTAAATGAGCCGAACACAAACACGAGCTTAAACAACAAAAATTTTTAACGAGCCGAGCTCGAACACAACGAACGAGCTCGAAAGCTTAACGAACGAATACGAACCTTGTTCGTGAACGTTAACGAACACTTAAAATTTAGCTCGGCTCTGCTTGACTTGAACCGTTAACAGCTCTATGTAAGACCACTCAAACCCCTTTACTTTTATCTCTATTTAGAACTCTTTAGTTTTTTTATAAAATTAATTTTAAATTAATTATAAATAAATAAACAGTTATAATTTATTTATTTTTATTATCTAAAATTTTATTATCTACAAAATAATTTTATATTATATATTTTTTATTAAGATATAATATTAGAAAATTTTAAAATATCAATAATACTATTCATATAAAAAAAATTTAAAATAATATTATAATTTATTATTAATAATTACACTATATAAAATACTATGTACTAACCAAAAAGTCATCTCAAAAGATCATCTCAACCAAAATAAAAAAGTAATATTTATGAAGAATTATTTACATAAAATATTAAATGAACAAATCTAATTTATTTTTTTTAAAGAAAAAATCTATATATTAAAGAAAAAAAACAATGATCAATCATGACCAACCATGTCAAGCGGGAGGGGATCTTCCCCTTCACCCAGCCCCTCTAACATATTCTGTATATATATACTTGTATATATATATATAATATTCTATCTGATTCACCTAATTTGTTTTTATTTTTTAATTTATATAATTATTTTTATTAATATATTTTTTAATTATTAATTAATTGTATTTTATCTAAATTTATATATTTACAAGAATATACCGGACCAAGAGAGTATATATAAAGATAAAATTACTTATAATATGTACATACATGTATATATTTATTATTTTGTGTGAAGAGACGTGAAGGTGGTAAGAGCAGAAGCATGGCTCAATTACAGAGGCCCTTCCTCCATATTTAGACGGCTTCTTCTTAACATGTCGAAAAAATTCATCCGCAGTAGTCAATTTCTTGATTGTAAAGTTTCGATTAAGAATCGAAGTGCCTCTTCTCTTCTCTCTTCTCTTTTTCTTCTCGCCTTCTCTTCAAAGAGTGGGCAAATCGGACAACCGGTTCGAACCGGCAGCTGGCAGTAAGAAGGAAGTTGGAGGCGACAGCTGTTGAAGGAGGAGGGTGGCAACGGTGGTGAAGCTGAGTGAAATCGTCGGACGGAAGAGGAAGAAGCATTGGCGGCTGGTGGTCCGTGGTCGTGAGACGAAATTGGGAAGTTTGGATGATTTGGAAGGATGAAGTTTAAGAAAAATTTTCTATTTTAGCCATTATATGTGCTCTGGGAAGCAGATCGGATCCTCTGTTTTGTTAATATTTTCTATCTCCTATCCTCATACACTGACACACAGTGTATATGCATATACATATACATATGTGTAGAGATTGAGGAATATAAGTTATTTTTTGAACAGCTAAAAATCAGATTGGAGCGTATTGAAGCTCAATTTAGAAACATCCTGGGTGGATGCATCATGACCGTTGATTATAATAGCAAGAACGGCACGGATACATCTGGGGTCCACCTATGATATGATATGACATGACTACTTGTTTTGGCAACCAATCCAATCCAATCCATTGAGTCGTCGTCGTCATTCATAAGTCTCCCTCCCCTCTTTTATGGAGTATCTTTCATTTCTCAACCAAATTCTGCTGCACTCACTCCAATCTTTAATCCATGATCACCTAAGTTGTTTGTTGTCCAAGAAAACTAACTAATAGACAAAACAAATGGAGCCAGACCCGAGGCACCCCACCCCCCACCCCACCCCACCCCAATCATGGCATGTAGCTTAAAACAGCACCATCATCACTACTGCTACTACATCTCCAAATTCTTAACTTCAAGCTCAATGAAACCCAACTTCTGACACCAACTTGCCACTCCATCACCAACAAACTTGTTCTGCACTATTCACACCCACCAAATCCCCATCACATTAATTAATTTGGGATCAACAAATTATATATATCCTGATTCCGGGAAAGTATAATTAACTTTTGGGATTGCTTTATTGACACATCATTCAAAGAATAACCAACCAAACCCAATTATCCACCCAATCCAAACCTACCAAATAAAGTTATTCACCCCCACATACTGATTGATAGATGGATTAATAATAATCACAACTTAGTTTAGTGTGCACCTTATTTTGGAACTCATGCGAGTTGTTGTTGATTTGCATTCATATTCCCTCCTCTAATTAATTTTGTGTTTATATACATCAATGTTGCACGCACAACAGTAGCATGCAGCTCCCTCCATGTCCATGTGCAGCGACGGACCATGGCTTCGTCCTGTTCCTGCATCTTTTCTGTTTCTCTGCTCTTGCTGTTGGTGCAGAGCGTCAGTCCTGCAAGAGATCAATCAGTTTATAATACTCTCAGTTCGAATAATGTGTCCGGCGAGGTTAAGAGGCGTGCGTATAGATGGCATGAATTTAGGAGATTTAGGAATGCGAGCAGAGGCAGCTTCATCCATGGAATTTCGGAATTAAAGAAGTATTTCACAAGGTTTGGGTATTTGGAGAATGGGAATTTTACCGACGTGTTCGATTCCGAGCTGGAGAAAGCGATTCGAACTTATCAGCGGAAATTGGGGATTCCGGTCAACGGACGCCTCGATTTGCGGACTATTACGACGGTGATGTCGCCGAGGTGCGGAATCGCGGATATTACAGGGAGAATCCGACCGACGGAAAGTTATGTGTACTTCGCCGGGAAGCCGCGGTGGGGTCGCAGCGCGCCGATGACGCTAACGTACGCTCTCTCGCCAAAAAACTCGATCGATTCCCCGAGCAGGGCGGACCTACGCGCCGCTTTCGAGCGTGCGTTCGCGCGCTGGGCATCGGTCACGCCGATCACGTTCCTGGAAGCCAGCGACTACGGATTCGCCGACATTAAGATCGGGTTTTATGTCGGCGACCATGGCGACGGCGAGGCGTTCGACGGAGTGCTCGGCGTGCTGGCGCACGCTTTCTCGCCGGAGAGCGGCCGGTTCCACCTCGACGCGGCGGAGACTTGGGCGGTGGACTTGGAAGCGGAGAAGTCGGAGGCGGCAGTAGACCTGGAGTCGGTGGCGACGCACGAGATCGGACACCTCTTGGGACTGGCGCACAGCCAAGTGAAGGAGGCTGTTATGTACCCAAACCTCCGGCCGCGGCAGAAGAAGGCGGAGCTGACGGTCGACGACATACGCGGCGTGCAGGCGCTGTACGGATCGAACCCTAATTTCAGCCTTCTAGGGTTTTCCCAATCGGACATTCATTCCAACCACGCTGCCGGAGCCGGAGCCGGAGGACCATTATTTATAATTAGGGTTTTTTATTTGGGGCTGGTGACTTTTCTGCACTCTCTTTTCATTCATGCATCTACTTAATTTATTAATTTTTTCTGTTGTCACGTGACTTATTGCATGAGATTTTTTTTTTATTATTATTTTTTAATATGTTTGTTTATTCGGATTTGAGTTCAAATGGAATTCAAATTTATAGTGTGTTCACTCTTTTAGCATGCTTGCTTGACTTTCTAAAAATTTTTATTTTTGTATAACTGAGTAAAAAATAGTAAAAAATAATTTTATATTAAAATTATTACATGAAATTTATATTATTTCAAACAATTATTTTAATTCAAATTTTTATTTACTTAAAACCCAGATAAAAAACTCAAACCCCTAAATAAACACTCTTTGTATGCATTTTTATATTAGATATGAGTACTCTACAAAAATAAAAAATTGTGAATCAACAACGGAAAATTTGTCTAATTTGTCTCTTTTATTGTCCATAAGCGGATTAGAAATATAATTGTAGACGTAATATATTCCGTCGAAAATATCACATCGCTAGTTTTAAATGACTACTTTTCCGTTGCGGATTTTGTAACATATTTATAGATGGAATTCGCCACGGAATATTTTGTTGTGAACTCGAACTATATTTTTCTGTTGTTGCAATTTACCGACGGAATGAGGTTGGCACTAATTCCGTCTTGAATTTCAACAATGGAAAAAATGACTCCAAATCATGTTCATTGTGTTTTTATTTTGGGATGGAGGAAATCTGTAAGAAATTTTGTCTCTAATATACAACTTACACCCCTAGACTTTTGCATTTCTTGATTTACCAATACATGTCTAAGACAATATACATTTACAAAATTAAATTTCAAACTAGAACTAAACAATCATATTGAAGCAACTAAAATACCATTATCAATTCTTTTAATACATAAAAAGCTTACCGTCACAAAGACTATCATACATTAGTTACAATACAATCATAAAAATCTTCAATTCCAAAATATAAAACTGTCCGGAAAAACATAAAAGTCAACAAACCAAGCGTTGATCATCTCATGTTGCTTCATGATGGTCATAATGTAACCCTCCACACGTTGTGTCCGCACCTCCATCTCCACCGAGCATTGGTCGTAATCTGGATCACTTGGAATCTGGCTATCGTTGGCAGAGAAAACATGCATAACTCGAGTAAGGTTTGTCCATGTCTCAATTGGAGGCATTTCGTACCTTACAATATCAGCTTGTACCTTCTCCCACCAAACAAGAGCATACTCCTTAAACTTTACAACAAGAAGTTAAATCTTCTTGCACCTGAGTAATTATGACATGCAAACATCATCTCCACTTTGTCTTTCCACTCAAGAAACTCATTAAGATCAACCGATCCTACGAAAGGTGGTATGGAGAACTTGATGGACTGTATGTTGTCATCAACCTCATTGGCGCAACCTCGGCCCATTCGGTCATAGATACTCTTCTAAGCCAAATTCATCAAACAACTCCTTGGTAGGATCTCTTTTTCCTTGTCATCTTTAGGTAGATGTAGGCCTCGGACTTTATGACGCCTTTCAACAAAATCATCAACTTAGATAAAACTTGTATTTGGTAGAACACTAGTTGAGGTCATAGGCTGCTTGCCAAGGTAGATTTATTCACGTCTCCCATCGCTATAACTTCTCATTTCTTCATGAGTAGCAATCTTATCGAAGAACTCATCAAGTCTCTTCTCGATATTTTGATCAACCTTCCTTAACAAGACCTCCGCATAAGCCTTAATCCGAGCATTCACAACATCATCTATGTCATCTCGAACATGATCTACTTGACTCCGTAGGTCGTGTATCTCTCATCCTTGTTAATCTACTCGACATGTCATGCTATCCATCTTTCTGCCTAATTCGTCTTTACTATATCGCATATTTTTGCTTTGTTTATTTATCGCTGCCTAGATATCATCCAATGAAGCCATACCTGAAACGTATACCTCTCGCACTCGTGTATACCTCTTGACAAATTGATAGAGTTCTAAAGCTCTTTAAGTGTGCCTTGTTGGTGTCGAAAAGGTGGAACCTGAATGACGTAAGCATTTAAAGTGGACAAGAACCTTTAAACACGACTCAATCAAACAAAGCACAAGATAATATCAATCATGCAATGCAAAGAACCAAACTCGTGCATTTATAAACTAATGACCAAAAAGCACACAACACACAAACACTTGATCTATGCACCTCAATTATGAACATGTTGATCGGATTTCAACAACCACAAAATCACCAAAAAAACTCAGACCCTTTTAAAACATGTCAAACGAGTATGACAAAGACAAAAGCTTGCAAAACATGAAACCCCAAAACTGAATAAGCAGATATTAATTACAAATTCACAAAAACAAATTACTATAACATTTTCTCCACTTCACAAGCTTTCCAATGACATATTATACGCAAAAAACGGAGCTCGTATGAGAAAATTACAACTCAAACAAGATTATCGACAAAAATTGCACTAGTCCTCCCCCTCGACTTTTCCTTTTTTCTTTGGGATATTTTGGTTTTTTTTTTTTTTTTGCAACTATATATATTTTTTGTTTTTAAACAATTTATATTTTTATTTTTATTTTCTTTTTCAGGGCAATATTGCGAGACCTAGACAAAATAATACATCAACAATAACTTCTTACACTTTCCAAATAACATCTAACTCAACAAAAAATCAACTTCACTTTCAACAACAACGAAAAACAAATCGTAAACTTGCAAAACTCAAAACAAGAGCATGAAGTGTACAATTAGAATCACTCGTCAATAAAGTCACAAGTTTGAGTTCATATAATGCATATGAATGTATGGTGCATGGTGTACACTACAAAGCATAGAGGATAAAATCGTCTACACTAGAAGGCCAAACAAAGACAAAATTTGAGATAAAATTTACGTCAATGATATGCAATAAAAAGCTCAAGTAAACAACTAGATGAATGGATACAAATAAAAGATATCAAGGAAATTTTTTTTTTTTCAAATTTTCGAAATAAGAATAGTATAAATTGATCAAATTGCTCTAATACCACAATTAATATTTATATGTCATAGACCGAAATTGATCAATTACACAAGACACAAAATTAAACTATTAAGTGGAACTAACTAATAAAGAAAAACGAAAGAAAAAACTACTAAACAGAACTAATTAAGTAAGAAAATGAACGAATCAACTACACGGAACTAATAAAGCAAGAAAAACGATAATCGAAAGAGAATCAAACCTAAGTAAGTATTAATGTAAACACGACCCAATACCCTTTTAGCATCAAACCATCATCTACGAAGGCACCACCTCGGTTGACACTTTGGAGAGCTCTTTCACCTTGCTAAAATGCCACGAACTTGAGCCTTTATACTCAAACCCAAATTTTGAAACTAAAACTCACGAAGTACGCAATGAAATTGTATTTCATGAAATATTAGAGTAAAAGAGAAGTATCTCAATTAAGCATAACTTCTAGAATAAGAAATGATCATAAATGATAAAATATTAATAAAAATATATTTTACTTGGTGTGTAATACAAAGCACTCAAAGACACCTATTTATAAGAGTGGAAGAAGAGGAAAGTCGATAAAGTTTCCAATGTGGGATGAATATATGAAGAATCCTCTAGTGGCCCTCCCATGCACGTGAGATTCCTTACTATATATATAAGTGACCCCAAGGGATGGTCCCCCATTAAAGCTTGTGCAATCCTAGGTTTTATGTAAATTACATATTAAACCTTCTATTTTAGCATACTCTTATATTTGCACAATTTTTCCGTTAGTTGTCCAATTGAGGTGTTGTAAGCTCCAACGTAACATTCACTACCATAGCACTCACCCTAGGCATTTCATCAAGTCCTCACGTGTTGTAACATAGTCCGTCAGTTGGGCTCCAATTCTCTAATTTCTTTATCAAGTCTTGCAATTTTTCAATGTATGTTTTCACTCGAGCTCTCGAAACTGGCCCGATTGGAATATGTGGAATTGCAAGTCTTGATCTTTGGGCATCTATGTCATTGTCTTCCAGCTTGAGTCGTCTGTCCTTGATAGCCCGTTGTACTATATTATGAAGGCTATGCAGTTTTTGACTTGGTGGCATAAATACCATGTCATTTTCAAAATTTCTTGCCCTCAAACTCTTCATATGGTGGAAAATTATGTTCTTCTCTCAATCAGATCTGATTGACCCACAAAAAATACTCAAAGATCTGTTAAGTTTTGGTAATATCGAATGAGTATTGTTACCGTGGATTAGCCTCTTTCTGTCGGGATTTCCGTAAGGTTGGGCAAGTGTACGACTTCCCTTATACAATTTTTTCAAGGCATGTTTCCTTCATGTCATCCTCTAGGTCTAGATCCTCTTGTACTTGTACACAATGGGCACCCGCATGGTATCTTTGATTTTGGGCAGCTTGTACATAATTGAGAATTTGTTCCGTCTTGACTGTCTTGGACATCAGTTGTGCTAAGGCTTGATACCGTTGCAAAGATAGCTTCTCCCGGGGGCTGGATGCATATTGTCAATAGAAATATTGATCAATTGCTTCTCACGAATACGGATATCGCATCTGTTATATGCTCTCCGGAATCATTTCATAAACTGTTCTACTGACTCATCTACCGTCTTCTGTAGACTAGTCAAGTATGTGATTGTCACTTTGAGTAACGGACTGTAGAACTGCTCTTGAAATGCATAAATAAACTCCGTCCAATTAAGCACCGAGCTGGGACGCAAATAGGCGTACCAACTTAACGCATACCCTGTTAATAACAAGGAAAAAAACTGCAACTTCTACCAATCGTTGTTGTCATACTCGCCACCACACTTGGCCATGAACCGGCTCACATACCCAATCGTGGATCTAAAGGCTTCTCCTAAAAATAAGGTAAACTCCGAAATTCGGGCGTGTCCTGGCAGTGGATGTTCCTCAACATTCTGTCCGGAAATAGCTGCTAGTACTGTGCCTAACTGGCATCTGCAAGGGATCACCACAGACTCTGCGTACTGCCTTCTTCAAAGCTTCTGGATCTACTAGCGTATTCTATTACGCTCCTTCTTGCTTCAGTGGATTTGGTTGAATCCGCTGAGGTAGATCCACAATTAGGTGTTCCTCTCGTATTGATGGATGTGGGAGATTTTCTATTGGAGGTTACGTATTCTACTAAACTGGCCGTTTGGGCGGTCTTGGTCATGATGCTTTCTAAACGATTGTTAGTGGTGCTCCGATGAGCCGATTAGCAACGATCGACCTCTCCATAAGAATCCACTAAGGCGGATTCGAACTGATATTCCCAAACACATATGGTGGCGATGCGTATGGAACTACCATAGTCGCCACACTGTCAACAATCGGCTGCCCCCCAGCCGCTAAAGAAGCCGGCAGGTTCTGGCCATATGAACACCAAGAGGTTCCTTAGTATGTCAGGTGAATATAAGGTTGTTGAATCCATGAACTTTGGTTTCCCTATAGGCCAAATAAGGTAGAATGTTTCCGCTTGGGCTGTAGTACTACTCTGTTGCTGATTCCGCAGGCCACTCTGCTGCCCAAATAGGTTGCCAAGGCTGATGGGTGAGTCAGCGGAAAATACACCTCCTCCTGAAGGCGGCACACTTGATGATGTACTTGCTAAAGCCCCATCCAGCTAGATGACAGAAACATGTCCATATTGAAACTGAGGAGATAAATTTGTTACTTGGGGCGGATGATAAGATGAGGCACCATCGTGGTTTCATTCAATGGTGTTTTTTTTTTTCCTTTCTAGCCTTCTCATCTCTCAGCTAGACCATTTCACTTTGGATGGTCGTTCGAATCTCGTCCGCTAAATATATAGACAATAAGACGGCGGAATCATGCAGAGATGATTGAACCTTCTCTATGATCTACTCTCAGAGCGGATACAGATAAGGCTGTCGTTTGACCTTCACTTCCGCCAGGGGCTGATGTGTTTCCGGAAATAGGATCGGTGTCATGAGGTATAATATCCTGACCTTCACTTCCAACGATGTTGACTTTTGGTGGCATGATGGGTGGAAATTGTTGATTCCACTGTCGCATTCATGAAAAGTGAAATACGAAATTATTGTGATCCTCTAGGCGGGCCAATTTATTTTATAGAAAAAAATATATATCTCAAGTCTCACGGCGGCTTAATGAAACCGATCGGAGAACTGTCAAAGGTTCTTTAAGGCACTCTAGAAAGCCTCTCGTGATACTTTGTATCTGAGAAAATAGACCTTAGCAGAAAATCCGCCGATGAGAATGGAAATAAAAAACCTTAAAGATAAAATTTCATTAAATCTGAAAAAAAAATACAAGTAGAATCGAAAAAAAGTAATAAAACAAGCGGACAAATATGAGGAAAAGTAAAATACTTAGATATAAAAATACTAAAAAGATAAAAATAAAAGGCTATAAATTTGTGTTGGTCGGAGATCATTTCTTCTCTTTCTATAGCTCCAATTGGAATTGAAACATCCCTTCTTTGAATGCCTATCATTATGACTCATGTAACTTCCGTAATTGTTTGAAACTCCTCATTCAAAGCCACATACTTTTGGTAACGTCTGAAACTCCCTATCTCATAATAGTTTGTTTCTATCATAATTGTCCACTCTCTCATTCTTTAATTAGACAATCTCTTGCTCTAACAATTCAAACCCCCAACTCATTAATAAATCCACAGCCGACGCAATCATCCAAATTTTCACAAGACAACGGATTTTTTAGTAGTTATTTAGGCTTCTCTTTCCACTGGCCTAAACTGATTCAAACCTTGAGTTGCCGCCTTCTCCATGCCTGGGCCTTCTTGGTTCAGGTCCCGCTTTATCTTCATGTGAGCTTCCTCTTAGGCTTATTTTGATGGGTTTCTCAATCATCACAATTTTTTTGCTCAGCGGTACTCTTAAACGTCTTATAATTCAACTGTCTCAAAGTTCACTATGCTCAAGCGGTTCAGATGTTCATCCCACTCGTCAGTTTTGCGCATGGCGTGACTTTTATGTTAAGTCGTGCTACTTCGTGATTAATTTTAAGTGATAATAATTTAGGAATTATTTTTACTCATTGAATACTTATGAATAAAATAGAAAATTATTAAAATGTATATTTCGTTGGATGAAGGAAATATAGACACATAAGATGGTTAGTAAAAAAATAATAACATAATTTTAGCGAAATACAAAATATTTGTTTGTTCAAATATTTTTTGTAGTACGATTTCCAATATATAGCGTGACTTTTATGTTGAGTCGTGCTACTTTGTGATTAATTTTAAGTGATAATAATTTATGAATTATTTTTACTCATTGAATACTTCTGAATAAAATAGAAAATTATTAAAATGTATATTTCGTTGGACGAAGGAAATATAGACACATAAGATGGTTAGTAAAAAAATAATAACATAATTTTAGCGAAATACAAAATATTTGTTTGTTCAAATATTTTTTGTAGTACAATTTCCAATATATATATTTTATCATTTTGTAAAAGTCAACATTCAATATAAAATATTATATTTATATTAATAATACATACTTCACATAAAAAAAAATTATTCAAATCAAAATACTATAGCTATGTTTGACAATTATAGTTGATTCAATTTGCAATTAGTGTAAACTTATTCAATTAGCTGATTTACTAGCTAATTCAATTAGTTGATTATATTAAAATATTTTAAAAAAATTAACAGTTTGATATTAATTGTTTATACGTAAAAATATAAGAATTGAATATATTTATATTTTATTTTTAAAACATTCAATTGTATTGCTTTAATTTTAACATTTTTTGTTATTAATTATTAAAAATTGTGAAACTATGATTAAAATTTTTGCTATTAATTATTAAAAATTATGAAACTATGATTAAAAGTTTATCTTTAATATTTTTAGATTTGAAAAAATAATATATTGTTATAAAAAAATATTAATATTTTGTTATTAAGAATGGTTTAAAATATAAAATAATAATTTGTTTATATATATTTATTTTGTTTATTATTAATTAATTAATTGATTTATTATATTTATAATTTTTAATAAATTTATTCTGTTTTATTTATTTTTAATATAAAATTATATATATAAATAAATTAATAATATTTATATTTTCTTATTATATTTTAAGTTTAACAAATCTAAATATTTTACAAATAGAATAAATTATTTATAAAATTTATTTATTTTAAAATTTATAAAAATTAAATTATAATTTAATAAATAAAATATATTAAAATAATTAATAAATACTGCAATATAAAATATTTATCTGAACGTGAAATAAATATTAATTTTGAAAAGAAAATAAAAATAATAAAATTCTTCTGTTAAACAATGAGTTATAATTAATTTTTTTTATCTAATAAATTATTTTAAAAAATGAATTTTTCTTAACACCTAAATTAATTGTGTTTGTTTGGGAGTTTGGATTTTGAGTTGGAATTTAAATAGTAAAAATTTTGAATTTAAATAGTTGTATGATGTGATATAAATAGGTGTTGATTAGATGTTTTGAATGTAAATTTTTTTTTTTTTTGTATAATATAAAAAATAAAAAATAAGTGTTTTGATTTGATATTTTTGGAGAAAAAAATTGAGATCAACAGTAAAAATTAAATCCAATATGTGCTACCCCAAAATACTTAATCGCTAAATACACAATATTTAATTAAATATTTGTTGGAGAAAATTATATGAATACGAACACACATTACCCATGAATTTGATCTAACCGAAATAGCTCATAAAAGTCAAACATCCGTCGTTGACCATAGGAAAATAAGTCAATGGCCGATCCCAATTCTTAAAACTTTTCCCGATTCGTTGCATTTGCAGACAAGACGAATCTCAGATCGCATACGCGAAAGTGATACGCTATGTGCGGGATCTTTGCGTACCTCAATTTCGATGTCAGCAAAGAGAGGCGCTACATTTTGGAGGTTCTCTTCAACGGCCTCCGGCGCTTGGAGTACAGAGGCTATGATTCCGCCGGAATTTCCATCGATTCTTCAAACAACTCCTCCAATCCCGACGTCGCCGCCGCCGCCCCTTCGCCTCTCGTCTTTCGCCAGGCTGGCAACATTGAATCCCTCGTCAAATCGGTATATCAAGGTGTATTTTCATTTTTCCCATTTCATCTGCGTTCTATTCCTTTTTTTTTCCCTATGAATTTGTATATTTTCGCTTTCCTTGATGTTAAATTGCACAATTTTAGTGTTCGGAAATAACTTCTTTGCCGATCCCGGCGGAGTTCAATTTGATAGTGTAGTAGAATTTTATGGTTGGATGCAAAAATAGGGATTTAAGGAGGCAAGATGAGAATCATTTTGCTTGAGATAAAATTTTAAAATGAAAAATAAAAATGAGGGGGGAAGATTCACTATCAAGTGCATCTGCTAGTGACATCAGGAAAGAAATTGGATATGTTTAGGATTTGTGATCTGTGATGCTCTTATGGCTGCTATTTTCCTTCAACGAAGCTAATTATTCTACACAATTTCCAGAGGTTGATGCCAAGGATATAAACTTGCACGAATCGTTCTCGGTTCATGCCGGAATAGCACACACTCGTTGGGCCACACATGGAGAACCAGCTCCAAGGAATAGTCACCCTCAGACATCTGACGTAGAGAACGAATTTTTGGTTGTACATAATGGAGTTATAACCAATTATGAGGTGCACTTGCTCTTCCTCGTGCCTTCTATATTTTAACTGACGTAGAAAACGAATTTTATATATTTTTATGCTATGTTGTGATTCGTTCAGTTCTCATGGCTGGCTGCAGCCTTCACTATGAAGAGAAAATAAACTATGATGACCTTGATTCTGTAATTAAATTTAGCCGTGTAAGTTAGAATATTCTCTCATTAAGTAGGCTATATGATATATATGTTGGGGGTATACACATTGAATTTTGGATTATAATTTATATATTTGTATGTGCCAAGTTGTTAGTTCTTGCTTGCGAAAGCTATTGCTAGTTCCAGAGGTACCAGGAAACAAGAAACGGCATTAATAGGTTTAAACTGATTATTAGTAGATGTTTCTTGCGTAATGGTGATTGTTGTGTATATATTTAGATTTGAAGGACCTCGGAAAAAGTTATTTTTTGGGTGTCTGTTGCAGTGTGCATTGTTTCATTTATCATGCTACCTGGATTTGCTCGAGAGTAATTTGTAAAGCTTCAAATTTCATTTGTATTGTGTTTAGTTTAAGGATTCAGGGTTTTTCGTTGTAGCCGCTGCATCAGAAGGCATCTACGTGATAGAGATAGAGTTTTGAAGGGTTTTGATTGTTGAATCTATATAACAGTAAAACAAGTAAGAAAATTAACAGCATGTACTTTCTTTGTAAAATGATTATGTATTATTAGCGTGTTTCGGCTGTGCCCTTGTCATAGAGGATGACATCATTAGTTTTTGGTTATAATGTAGCTACCACATCTGATGATAACTCAGACGATTAGTTTATGATTGTTAAAATAGTTACATTTCAAATTTCACCATACATTAAAGACATACAATAAATTCATCCGAACTGAGTTGATAATCTTTTCTGTATATTAAAGGAAGTTGCCAAAGAAGTTTATAGCTGTAATCAAAACATAAAAAACTTCAATAACTATAATTAATTAAAGACAAAGCTGCTGTACACGTTAAGGTGTACTTTTGTTTCTTAATTATACAAAAAGGTTTTAGCTTCTTCATTGTTTGTATACTTAGCAGCAGGAAATTAAGAGATCTCAGGTTCTAGATGTGCTGTTACCTGCTTTATGCACCCAAGGATGGCTGGAATATTAGTAAACATCATTTGGGCATGGATTTGTGGGTTGCTGCAGGTGACTAGAGTTGAGGCGGTTTATGACTTTCCAATTGGGAAGTTAAGTAGCATGCCTTTATACTTGCAGAAGGACTATAAAGCTGGAACTTTTAATTTGATGGCACACAATAATGTGCAATATATATATATATATATATATATAAGAGAATGATAGTTAATTGGGATGATCACAAACCAGTGAAACTTAAACCAAATGCTTGTACAAAGTTCGTTCGAGCTATGATGCCTTGAATTTGGTAAAAGATGGAGTATCAACTAACATTAGTTGAGCTATTGTTTACAGACACTATTTGGTTGGAATAAAGACACAGTTCTAGCTGTAATAAGTTTGGTACACTAAAAAATATATTTGGAAACTGCTGGGCAACAGTATGCGCTGATGTAATGAGCTATTGTGGCACTGGAGTTATTTGCTGCTACAAAAACATTATCAAAAGAAAAAGACTTGGTTCTTGGATTCAACTGTTGCATCCCATCTATTGTTGTTAAACAAGTTGAGTGAGCTCGAATATATGTTGTTCGAGCTATATTGAACATATTATTGTTATAAGCTCGATTGGGCTCATTTAGGATTCATGTTAAAATAGTGGCTTGAGCTCAACTCACAGGGATTGAATTCTATTTTGAGTTCTGCTCGAATTTATATATATATATTCAATATATAAATTAAATATATATAATTTTATTCATAATTTATTATAATAAAATATTCAAATTTCATTGATAAATACAAGCTTTGATATAAAAAAAATATAAATGATACAAATATAGCATCAGTAACAAACTCAATTGAGCTGTCCGTGAGTTCGAGCTCAAGCTCAGCTCATTTGCCGTGAGCTACCCGGTTTGTTTAACAGGTCTAATCCCATCATTGAGAAAATTGGGATAAATTTATATATCTCTTGTGAAAATTATATTAGGTAGGATTGCTTGTTTCTTCGACAACTGCCCTTTTTTTCATTTTTTTTTTTTAAAAGAGGCTGTATTGAACACAGGCTTCTATCTTTCTATGATAGCTGACACTTGCAATGGTCTTCAAAATTGGGATAAATTTATATATCTCTTGTGAAAATTATATTAGGTAGGATTGCTTGTTTCTTCGACAACTGCCCTTTTTTTCATTTTTTTTTTTTTTTTTAAAAGAGGCTGTATTGAACACAGGCTTCTATCTTTCTATGATAGCTGACACTTGCAATGGTCTTCAAAAAAAGCGGGGATTGGTGCTGCTATGTTTGGACACGCTTCAATTTTCTTCTAGATTGTAGATATTCAATTCTCATTCTTTGCTTTAATGCTTAGATTCTGCATGATATATGTGATATTTGTGCTATATTAAATGTGTAATTTCCTGATACTTTTGTTAGCTGGTATCGATTTAGTACTTTCATTTATTTTGTGATGAAAAATCAATTTTCACTAGGTGCTTGCACTTTATAGCTATAAATTACATATTGTTTTCATCATGTTTATTGGATTTGCATTTTAGGTTTTAAAAGAGACACTGGTTCGACATGGTTTTACCTTTGAATCTGATACGGATACAGAAGTCATTCCGAAGCTTGCAAAGTTTATCTTTGATAATGCAAACGAAGAAGGTATTTGTGTGATTTTAGTGTTTTTTTAGTACCCCACTTCACAATCCTCCAATAGATTTCTCATAGAAACAATGTGACAATATCTTTATTGAATTGTTGTGAATGAAGTATATACATGTTGCATCAACATAGTGAATGATTGTTGCATTCTTTATGAGCATATGAAACCTATTTGAACAAAATTAAAATTACACATTTAATATGAAACTTATGGTGCGGTGACAGATAGGTATGCCGTCTTTCTGTTTACTTGTTAATCTAAGCAAGCAAATATTGAAATCACATGGTATGGCAACTGGAAATTGTAGCAAGTAGATAAGAGAACCCTTTTTTCTTTTTCTTTTTCCTTTTTTAAATCTGAGTTTGCAAGTTCTCAACTAGAATGTGTAGGATAATTGCCAAAATATGACTACACAATTCGATAATGCCTACATTATTATCCACAATTAAATGTAATTACTGAAAATGGTGATAAATAAGGATAAAAGAATTAGCTTTAATAGAGAAATGGAAGAAGAAAGTACCCTTTATATTTTAAAGGATATATCATGCAAAATCAACATAGACATACTATTGTTTCATCGTATTATATCTTTCTCTGGTACATATTGTCAAATACATTAGAAATTCCCTTTTTTCATTTGTTTTTTGATTTCACATATGCTTTGGAAGGATTTAGCTGACTAATTGCTCTTAGTATCGATATACTTTTAGTTTATCATTTTGTAAGAGGAAATCATTTGTTACTGGCCAAAAGATTGCATTAAGGAAGTATTTGGTTCAGGTGATAAGAGTGTGACATTTAGCCAAGTGGTGATTGAGGTAATGAGGCACCTGGAAGGAGCATATGCCCTAATTTTCAAAAGCCGACATTATCCCAATGAGTTGATTGCATGCAAACGTGGCAGCCCGTTGCTCCTTGGTGTAAAAGTAAGTCGAATGTGGTGCTCTTAAAGCATTTGCTATATGATTGTTGTATGTTATCATAGGTTTTGTTTGGAATCTCTTAATTTCCATGCTTGGTTCATGAATGTGAAATATGTCCTGGCATTTCAGACATGTCGCCTCCCAATAGATTTTGACGTCTAAATTAAAAGCATATATGTTCTCTCTGTGTGTGGCTCTTACCTATTTATACATCTGTTTATTGACCTACTTACCTATCAATATCTATATTGATTATATAATTTATATTCCGATTTCAGTTTATATTATAACCGGTAATAAATGGGTATTTTTTCGATTCAATCTGCTCCCTACTTTCCTCCACTGTAGGTATTATTGCTTATAAAGATGTGCCTACAACGATAGCCAGCTGATTTATACTTCTGCTGGGTGGAATTGTGCAAATGTTGTCTTTTTTCTGGGAACATTTAGGTGTTAGCAGAAACTTGTTTTCAAGAATCTTCTACTTAAAGGTTTTCAGTGACTGGCAGTAATCATTTATAGTAGTGAAGAACTTCGTCGTCGTTTTTTTATATATTCTTCTTATGATGTTTCTTTGCTTTCTTACTTCATTTCCATTAGTTGTGGTTACCATTGGTATTCTTTAGCTCAGAACATTACAGATTCTTTTTCATCGGCTACATAAAGTCATGTAGTTTACATCTGTTTCAAAGATTTTTAATTCTTGTAGTAAGTGCATTTTCTGCTGGGAAACCTTGCTTCGCTTGCTTCAGGACAACGGAAATGTGGCAGTTGTAAGCTTAAGTAACAAGGGTTGAAAAGTGATGTTGCTTTTATTGCAGGAGTTGACAGAGCAGGCCAACCGAGGATCTTTTAACGACTCGAAATCTCTTTCTAGCAACGGACAACCAAAGGAACTCTTTTTGTCGAGTGACGCCAGTGCTGTTGTAGAGCACACAAAGAAGGTCTTGGTGATTGAGGATGGTGAAGTTGTTCATCTTAAGGTAAGATCTAGTTTGATGATTTAATTACTCTCTTTTTGCAATGATAAAACTTATCACTATTATTAATTTGTGATATGATAGGAGTCCCAAAAATACAAATGATCCTCCCTCTTTTGTTATTAAGTGGTATTCTTTGTGGATATTTGTTGTCGAAAAGCTTTCTACCGATTCTCTCATACATGGATGTATTCCTTATTTAAAGTCTTCCATCCTTGAGGCTTCAATATTGTTGATCTACGTGGCTTTAGGATGGAGGCGTATCCATTTTGAAGTTCGATCACCCTAAAGAAAAGTGCAGCGGAATGGTGACGAGGCCCGCCTCTGTGCAACGCGCGCTTTCAGTTCTGCAAATGGAGGTTGAGCAAATAAATAAAGGAAAATACGAGCATTACATGCAGAAAGAAATTCACGAACAACCGGAATCTCTTACGACGACAATGAGAGGTAGGCTTATTCGTGGAGGATCATGTAAAGCCAAGAGTGTCCTTTTGGGAGGGCTGAAAGATCACCTCAAAACCATCAGACGAAGCAGAAGGATAGTTTTCATCGGGTGTGGCACAAGCTATAATGCTGCTTTAGCCGCAAGGCCCATCATCGAAGAACTTTCTGGTTGGTGAAATCCACAATTTGTTTTTATAAACTGCAAGAATTGCACTGATTCTATGGTTACATTAACGTTGTTATGCATCAGGTATCCCTGTGACAATGGAGATTGCCAGTGATCTTGTGGATCGACAAGGCCCCATATATAGAGAAGATACAGCTGTCTTTGTCAGCCAATCGGGAGAAACGGCTGACACTTTGCAGGCTTTGGAGTATGCATTAGAAAATGGCGCATTGTGTGTCGGCATCACCAACACCGTCAGCAGTGCAATCGCTCGGAAAACACATTGCGGTGTTCACATAAATGCCGGCTGCGAGATTGGCGTCGCTAGTACCAAGGTGATGAGCATTACATTATACTACTTCCGTCCGGCTCAAAAGATCTCATTTACTTTTTGCGTGTTAATCTTTAAATATTAATTATTATATCAAAATGTAGTACAAATTAAATTAGTGTCTTATAATACTAATAGAAGAACATTTGTACAAAATATTTTACAAATATAAAAATATTTTTAATGCTAAATACAATTACGTAAAATGTAAATGTGACTATTAGAGTATTTAATGATGCGGTAAGCACATCTAAAAAGAAAAAAACAGACATGTATTTTTATTTAACACATGTTAGATAAAAAACATGAGCTATCATGTCTGCTTATACTTGTAGGTGCTGAATAAATATATTTCATGTGATTGTGCGGACTATATCATGTGCTATATTTATATTATATTAAAGATAAAATTGCTCATAATTCTCCTATAGTTTCGAAATTCAATATTAAATCTTTTTATACTAAAAAAATTGCATGGCAACATCTTATACTTTAAAAAACCGTTGCATAAAACCCTACCACCATGAAAACTCCTTGTAGGATGAGAAATGATTTTCTATCTGGATGTTTTGCATGGCAGAGGGTTTCATACAATAATTTTTAAAGTATAAGGGGCCGCCATGCAATTTTTTAAAGTAAAGTGAGAATTTACGCTGAGTTTCAAAATCACAGTAGGGTTTCATGCAATATTTTTTAAAGTATAAGGGACGTCATGCAATTTTTAAAATAAAATGAGGATTTACGCTGAGTTTCGAAATCACAAGAGAGATTATGAGCAATTTTTTCTATATTAAATATAATTCATATTTTATCTTTTGTTATACTGTGTGGTATCCGTCATTATGCGCATTGTGCTGACTACATTAAATTACGTCTCTATTTTTCCACAATCGGATTTTAGCTTTTAGCTTATGAATGAATGTGCTTCCCCAAGCAGGCGTACACGAGCCAAATTGTCGTCATGGCAATGTTGGCTCTCGCAATTGGAGATGACACAATTTCTAGTCAAGCAAGACGGGAGGCCATCATAGACGGTCTATATGATTTTCCAAGTACGTCTGCATGTTGATTCCACGGATATGAATGGATTGTGAACGCATTGATCCGTTATACTGCAGGTAAAGTGAAAGAGGTCCTCAAGCTTGACGGAGAAATGAAAGATCTTGCTAAGTTACTAATGGCAGAGCAGTCGCTGCTTGTTTTCGGAAGAGGATACAACTACGCCACCGCATTGGAAGGCGCCTTGAAGGTAAAGGAAGTTGCACTGATGCACAGCGAAGGAATTCTAGCTGGTGAAATGAAACACGGTCCCTTAGCTTTAGTGGACGAGAATCTTCCGATTGTTGTTATCGCTACTCGCGATGCTTGTTTCAGGTTCGACTCGATTCTTTCAAATGGAAATGAAATGCTGTTTCCGTAGAAAATTTAAATTTTATTTGTTCGCTTCTTGTTCGATGAACAGCAAGCAGCAGTCAGTCATTCAGCAACTCCACGCTCGGAAAGGTAGACTTATAGTAATGTGTACGGAAGGAGACGCTGCATCTGTCAGTGTTGGCGGTTCCTGCCGTGTGATTGAAGTTCCTCAGGTTGAAGATTGCTTGCAGCCTGTTATTAACGTCGTTCCTTTGCAGGTAATTCTGATCACAAAATCTTGTATATATGCAATTGCAGTAATCGTTGTTGCGGTCATTAATTGCATGTTTTTCGCTATGATTTCAGCTCTTGGCTTATCATCTGACTGTTCTTCGCGGACACAACGTGGATCAGCCTCGAAACCTCGCCAAAAGTGTGACAACGCAGTGAGGGAAACTTTAGATACGAGCTCCTGCAACCTTCCGCCATGGAAACGCGATACCGAGCGGCTGAGTTCTGGTCGGATCTACAGAAGCTTGTGTGGTGTTTTCCATCTTCCGTATGCTCTTTGTATAGTGTAGAGATAACAATTAACTGTAGCTGTGAACTGTTACGATAAAACTCCATGGGTGCCTTTCTTCCAAACCATCAAATCTATCTATATATGCATGTATCTATACTAATTTCATATTGTCAATTAACCAGCATCTAGAAGAAACAGCAACCGTAAATAAATTATAGCGTTATGATTTACCTTGCATCACAAAAGGACGAAACGACCAACCTGTAGAGCGAAGACAAGGGAAATAAGAGAAAAGCTTTTCGCCGGATAAGGCCATTGACTTGGAAGTCGCCTTCGTCCCCACATTACTTTTTCAAGCACGCCATCGCCAGAAGGTAATTTCTGAATTGATTCGATTTAATTACAATATCCTCGTTCCTCATCAATTTTCTGTATCAGATAGCTTTGAATCCAGGTTGATTCTCTCGGGAAAAGAATCGTCCAGCTGTGGCATAGGCAAGGGAGCTGCTCAGCCTCAGATCCACGAGTTTGTGAGTATTTCTGAACGCATAACCGTATGGTTTTTGTTGTGGATACTTAGTTCCAGCTTCCGTCGAGTGCTCAATTGTTGCTTCGACTGTTTGATATGGAGATTTTGACAATCGGAGTTAGAATTTGGGGATGAAATTCTGGCTCAGCTTGTGTCAAGAACAGGTTGAAATGCTGAGTAGTTTACAACGATGAATATGACTCAGTTCATAAATTTGGGATCTGCAGAATCACAATTTCTAGAACTGTAGCATTGAAAACCTAGATAGCTCAACTGATGATGTTTGTCTGCCTGCTGCTGTAATTTTTTTTTTTTTTTTCTGGGAAAAGATTAGGGTCACTTTCATTTGTTTCCTTTTCTTGATGCATTCTCTATGCAACATGCAGGGAAGGCAAATTACGTCGCTTTTATTTTATTTGTTTCCTTTTCTATTTCATGAAGCAGTTCTTTTCTTGGTTCTCCCAGCTCAGGTGAGGGAGAAACAAGAAAGATGCCTATAGGGGAGCTATTCCTATCAGCGTTCGTCCAGGCGCTGTTTCAGCAATTGGTCTCTAGTGCAACAATGGCCTTGGCCCGTCGCGAGAAAGTGGAAACACATTTCAAGAAGTTAAGTCAAGACTTGAAGATTATTCAAGGCGTGCTCGATGACGCTGAGGAGAAACAGTTAACAGAAAAGGCCGTAACAGTCTGGTTGGAGTCCTTGAGGGACTTGGCTTATGACTTGGATGACTTGTTGGATGAGATCACTACTCGAGCTTTGATTGTAGATTCGAAGGAGATTGAACCTAGCCGCAAGGACAATATTTTGTGGAAACTCCTCCCATCTTGCAGCAATTTGATGCCTGGTACGCTGGTATCAAATTATCGTATCATGTCAAGGATAAAAGAGATCACAAATAAGTTACAGTTCATAGTGAAGCAAAGGATCGACTTAAAGTTGAGGGAGAATTCTGCTAGTATCCGGGCATCAGTAACAAGGTTGCCAAGCACCTCTTTGGTGAATGAATCTCAGGTATATGGGAGAGACGAAGACAAAGAAACAATAATCGATATGCTGCTCGGCGGGAACGAGGCCTCCCACAACGACGTATCTGTCATTCCAATAGTAGGAATGGGTGGTATAGGCAAAACAACTCTAGCCCAGCTGGTTTACAATGATAAAACTGTTAAGCAGAACTTCCATGTTCGGGCATGGGTGTGTGTTTCCGAAGAGTTCGATGTCATTTCTATCACCAAGACGATCTATGAGTCGATAACTGGAATCAGTAGCCAGTCCAAGGACTTAGACACGCTTCAGGTGAGTCTGAAAGAGAGGCTATCTAAAAGCAAGTTCCTAATCATTTTAGACGACGTTTGGAACGAGAACTATGATAATTGGTACGACTTATGCCGACCATTCCAGTTTGGGCTACCGGGAAGCAGAATTATCGTCACTACTCGCAATGAAAGCGTCGCATCAGTTGTAGGCTCCCCTCGCGCTGCCTATCATATGAAACTGCTAACTAACGACGATTGCCTGTTGCTTTTAGGCCAACATGCTCGGAAATCATTGCAGAATGATGCAGACTTGAGAGAAGTTGGTTGGGGACTGGCGAAGAAGTGTAAAGGCTTGCCTTTAGCTGCAAAGACGCTCGGTGGCCTCCTACGGTCGAAAGAATCTAAAGAAGAGTGGGAGGATGTGTTATATAGCAAGATATGGGATCTATCAGAGGATAACAATAATATTCTTCCAGTTTTAAGACTAAGTTATCATCATCTTCCTTCACATTTGAAGCATCTATTCGCATACTGCTCGATATTTCCTAAGGACTATGAGTTTGAAAAGGATGAGCTGGTGATTTTATGGATGGGAGAAGGCTTTCTCGAACAGCCAAAAGACAGGAAAACGAAGGAAGAGTTAGGACTCGAATACTTCAACGAGCTTGTGTCGAGATCCTTTTTCCAGCGCATGAGTCCCGCTGATTCAAATTTTGTGATGCATGACCTTATCAATGACTTGGCGCAGTTTGTTGCCGGGGGGACGTGCTACCGCCTTGATGAGAAGATGGATACTAATCTGGAGTATCAGATTCCTGAAAAGGTTCGTCATGGCTCGTTCCTACGTCACGAGTACGAAGTATTCAGAAAATTCAGGGCCTTCTATCGGGTTCAAGGTCTGAGAACATTCATACCAATGCCGGTCCAGAATTCACTTGTTTGGCCTCCTTTCTACTTATCAAACAGGATTTTAGTTGAACTGGTGCCGAAATTGCACAGCTTAAGAGTTCTATCTCTAAGTGGCTATTCCATCACTGAGCTGCCTTCTTCAATCTGTGATCTGATACATTTACGGTACCTCAATCTTTCAGGGACTTCAATCGAGACGCTGCCGGACTCTTTGGGTGATCTCTTCCAGTTGCAGACCCTGTCCTTGAGCAACTGCCGGTTCATAAGTAAGTTGCCTCCAGCTTTGGGGAATCTATCGAATTTGCGCCATCTCAACAACGCCAATACGGATAAACTCAAAGACATGCCGGTTGAAATTGGTAAGCTGAAGAATTTGCAAACACTACCGAAGATTGTTTTGAGCAGAAGCAGGGGCTTGGGATTGAGAGAACTTAGGGACCTAAAGTTATTAAGAGGGACTCTAGCCATTTTTGAATTGCAGAACATAACAGACCTTGAGGATGTGAAGGAGGCGAATCTGAGGGCTAAGCAGGATCTTGATGAGTTACAACTGAATTGGGGAAGCGACATTGGCAGTTCCCCTGGCAGACCTTCGGAGGAAGAGGTGATGGACCTGCTGCATCCTCATGAGAACTTGAAAAGCTTAAAGATTGAATATTATCGCGGTCTGACATTTCCAACTTGGGTTGGGGATCCGTTGTTCGGCAAGTTGTCCAGTGTAAGCATCCACAGCTGTTTGGGGTGCATGTCTCTGCCACCTCTCGGTCGGATGAGAGACCTTAAACACCTGCGGATAGGAAACATGCCGAAAGTGAAATGCATCGGAGGTGATTTCTATGGGAGCGAAGCTTCCGTTCCATTTCCGAAACTGGAGACTCTAAGATTCGATAACTTGCCAGAATGGGAGAAATGGACTGGTTTTGACGAGGGTGCGGCTGCTCTGATACAGTTTCCGAAACTTCTGGAGCTTGCTATGTTCAAATGCGACAAGTTAACGGATATTTCTCCCCTTAGTTTTCCTGTTCTCCGGCAGTTGGACCTCGAGGAATGCAGCATGGTTCTGTTGGAAAGATTCAGTAGTCTCGAATCTTTAAGTTACCTGAAAATCGAAGCTGTCGCAGGGCTATCCCATCTCCCGACAAGACTAATACAGTCCTTAAAATCACTTGAAGTTTTGGAGTGTTGCAACTGCAGTGAGCTGCTCTCGGTGTGGCCGGACGAGATTCAGCCCGAATGTCTTGCTCGTCTGAGACGCCTTGTCGTTGCAGACTGTTTGCAGCTGGGGTCGTTGGGTCAAGGAGACCAGCAACTGCCCTGCAAACTCGAAGTTCTTGAATTATTCCGTTGCGGAAATCTGGTTTCGCTTCCGGACGACTTGAGCGAGCGCTCGTCCTTACGAGAGCTGATCATCAAGAATTGCGTCAAGTTCACCGCCTTTCCGCAGACTGGCATCCCTCCCATGCTCAAACGTCTCGAAATCCTCAGTTGCAACGCTCTGGAGTCCCTGCCATGGAACATCACAGATCTCGAAAGGTTGGAGATCAAGGAATGCTCGTCTCTGAGGACATGGGCGACGCGTAGTTTTCCCATCACCCTTAAAAAGCTTTCGATCAAAAACTGCGCCCAGCTGGAGGCAGTTTCGGAAGACATGTTCCCTTGGAACAGCGACATGTTGTTGGAGGATCTTAGTTTATGCAACTGGCGCAACTTGGGTAACCTGCTCCAGCATCTGCACGCATTCTCGCATCTAGCTGAGCTGTATCTCTCCGGCTGTTACGGTCTGAAACACTTCCCCGAGCACGGATTGCCGCCCGGTCTACGATCGCTATCTCTGGAAGATTGTGCGAATCTCAAGTCGTTGCCTGCAAAGGTTCGGAACATGAAGTCCCTGGTGTTACTTGAGATAAGGAGTTGTCCGAGGCTCGATAATTTTCCGACCTGTGATTTACCTCCGAACCTGGCATCGCTTAGGATATGGGATTCGAAGAAATTCAGGCCTCTATCGGATTGGGGCTTGCATAGGCTGACTTCTCTCCGAGAATTCTCCCTCTGCGGGGGGTTCAAAGAGGTCGACCTACTCGGTGATGATGACAGTCTCTTCCCGGAATCTCTGGTGACATTTTCGATTGCCAGGTTCCCGAAGCTCACCTCACTCTGTAAGGTGCTGGAGAATCTTTCTTCGCTGCGGCACCTATCGATCATGAACTGTGGGAACCTTCATAGCTTGCCTAGTGAGAGCCTGCTCGGAAGGCTCTGGCATCTGGAAATAAGTGACTGCCCGATTCTGAAGCCGCGCTGTCTGAAAGACAGAGGCGACTATTGGAACAAGATACGCGGAATACCTTGTGTCGAGATTGATGGGACTTATGTGTATCGCCATCCCCAAAACTAAACTCGAGTGCTGGTCGAGACAAGATAGAAACTTGTCTGTCTTCTTGCCTTGTTTCTTATAATCAATCTCATTCTGTACATGCAGATGCAGATGCAGATGCACATTCAGTCATTCATTTTCTCAACTCAAACTGTCTGTCTTGGGGGTATCAGAGATATCGACGGCTGCCACCGGAACTCTATGTAAGTCGAATTACCATTGTGCTTTAAGCTAAGTTAAGCTGTTTTTGTTCTATAAGTTGGGTGCTGGTTGTCAACTTTTTCATTCCACAAATAATTTCATATATATATATATATATAAGAAATGGCAATTCTACATTTTGTGTTAGTACTCAATGTGTGTTAGAGTAGATATGTAAGTAGGCATTGGTTATTTTTTTATGACGTTTGGTAGACCCTAGTTCACACTAGCCAAATACGTGTGACCTCGGTCACAAATTCATTCCCGCACCACAGACCATCAATTGCAAGCAGCATTGGTTATTTTTTGTTTGGTTTTACTATCGTTTGAAATAAGGTATTTAATTTGAGTTATTATTTTGATTTGATGTGTTGTTTTGTGAAATAAAATTGTTCTGCTATTGATTTGAAATGATTGAAAGAAGAAAAATTATTATTATTATTATATTCAAATTGATTTCTTGTTCTTGATTGGGACACACCCGTTTTTTTTTTTTTTTTTAAATCTTAACTATGATAGTGATGTATGTGATTTTTTGAATTGAATTTAGTGAGAAAAACCTAAGTGAAATAAATAGGCATTCATTATTAGGTCATTGCTTTTGCTTTTTTAGATAACATATTGCGGCCGCTGTCCTGCAAATACAAAGGAATAAAAAACGTGTTAACTATTTTCAATCCATCGATTTTATTTATCCAATTTTAATTTTAAATATGCAGTTAGTATAGTAATTTTATTTCGATCGTCACTTTATTTTTATTATTGTTTTTCAAATTTTCAAATATTCTATTATTTTAAACAATTTTTTATTTTTATAAATTAAAATATTTTTTAAAAAAAAATTATAAAAATAAAAAATATATTTAAAAGTTAAAATAAAAAAAAAAGGTAACTCAATTTTTTTTGTTCATATTATCTTTCACATTTTATGTCATTTTTTAAAAAAATAAATTTTAAATTTTAATTAGATTAATTAATTATCTTCTATGTTTTTAATTATTTACTAAATATATTCCTCCTAAATTTTCATGTCTACTATAACATGAACACACGTACCAAATGAAAGAAGTATAATATATATTATATATATCAACATCCAATACAAAATATATTATTTTTTATATTTTTTCCATCCACTATCAATATATTTATTTTGTCATTTTAGTATGTCTACTTTTAATATATTACTTTTTTAGTAATTGTATTTCTCATTAAATAATAAAAAGTACCTCTATACTTCATATAATATTACAAAAAATAGGATTAAACAAACAAATGGATTTATAGGTAAAAAAAAATATTTTTCTCATTATATTGTATTATTATTACCTATAAAATACTAATATTCTAAAATTTATGTGAAAAATAAACAGTTACATTGAAAGTGGACAAAGAAAGTATTACCGATTTTCTATACCTCATATTAAAAAATAAATAATTAATTAATCAGTGAATTAACACACCCTTTGTATCCCATAAAACTGCAAAGACCATTTGATAAATAGATATATAGGCTTATATTTGAAGGCCTAAGCAAGATTATAAAATTATCTAGAAAAGAGAGAAAGAGAGACAGTTGACAAGTATATAGGTTAGAGATTAATGTACTACAACTAAATTAATTAACTGTTGTGTACTTAACAAAATTTATATTTATATGTAAATTATAAAAATTATTATTTATTATTACTTATCGTAATTTTTTCTCATTTTTTTTGTATTTTACAAGATAAAATAACACAAAATAAAAGCAAAATTGGATGACAAAAACAAGTAAATAGTAGTAATATATACTGAGTCTATTTTAAGTTGAATATTTGAACTTTTTTTTTTCTATAAAATGTATTTTGTATTTTATTTTATTGCTTTTTAGGAATCGTCATTTAAAATTTGGCAAACAGATCCAGTATTGCATACAAAAGTAACAACATTTATTTTATTGTGTTCCTTGATTAAATAATTTCTTTGATGTTTTTTTTTTTTAATATTAGAAAATTTATAGTAAGATTAATTTCAAGATGAGACAGGAAATGAGAGTTTTGTTAGTGACGAAACAATCCCAAATTTCGGGGGTTGGAAATAAAGAAAAAAAAATAAAGAAACTCTTAAGAGATCAAAACCATAATTAAATATTAAAGAAAATATTTTTTACCTACGAGCATCCTATCTGTCCCAAAAATAAACTCTATCCATCTATCTCCGCATGCATAGTGTGTATATATATATATGTATGTATATATAAAGTAATATTTTATACATACACACGTATGTATATATATACACGATATGTGTATGGGACAGTAGAACAAGATTCTGTCTAGAACAAATAAATATATGTATCAAAAGCTTCTCACTTTTAAAAGGAGGTTAGAAAAAAATAAATAAATAAAATCAGTATACAATATCATAATTTTCGAAGCTATTTTAGTGCACAAGCCTGGGTGCAGTTTGGTGCAACAGAGGCCACACTCAAGCAAAAATGATTAGGGCAAGAAAAATTAGAGAGAAAAAAGTTTAAACCTTTGTGCAATTAAGCGACTCTATTTTTACTTCTAAGCTCGACACATAAGTTACGAAGATTTTTTTAAGTATTCAAACATTACACATGCTCTAAGGGTGTGTTTGTTCGGGGGATTATTCATCCCATTTTTTCTCCCAAAAAATATCAAATCAAACACCTGTTTTTCATTTTTTATATTATACTAAAAAATCAATTTTACATTCAAAACATCACATCAATACCTATTTATATCACATCGTACAACTATTCAAATTTAAAATTTTTACTATTCAAATCTTAACTTAAAATCCAAACCCCCAGACAAACACACCCTGTCGAACCCAAACTCGTGACCCTTAGTCGGACGTTTGATTATCACATAAAAAAAAAAAAAAAAAAAAAAAAACTGAATTTGATTAAACTATGCATGAAAATAGCCCTTGGAAGAAAAGGACTCTTTTGAGTTATATAATAATCAATATATATATATATATATACACACGGTTGTGGTGGGTGTGTGAATATTATTATGCATACTATTAACGATAAATATATGTAATAAATATATATGTATGTATGTGCATTATTTATTATATGTGAGTGAAAGTGAGTATAGAGAGAGTGAGACGGACAAATAAGAATAAGAATAGAAAGTGAGTAAATGTGCTTGTTGATCTTTAAATATTAATTATTATATTAATACGCAGTACAAATCAAGAAAAGAAAAATAAAAATAGATTTATTAGCCTCTTATAACACATATAAAATATGATATTTGTCGAGTAAATTATTCAAATATAAGAATATTTTTAATGTTAAGTACAATGACGCAAAAATCAAAATGACAATCTTCTTACGGGACGGAGAGAGTATCTTATTTTGTAAATATAGGCGTACAATCAATGCTTGAGTATATAAATGCATCCACGCCTACAAAGCGTATGAATTATGTACTAACTATAAGATGCTACATGTATATTTCGTAACATTTTGCTCTTTTTTTTAAAAAAAAAAAAAAAATCACAGCCAACTACAATGACATTCAAAACACATAGTATTTTAGTATTTATAATTTTAGGTATTTTTATTGTAACATATAAAAATTAGAAAAATACTACTATTGAAATTTGTTCTTATTCCCTTTATATTTAGATTTGGACGACAGATAACATAAAAAAATAATATCAAATGTTGCTTTTTATGTATTTTTATTGTTATATACATGCATTTTTTTTTTTTTTCTAAAAGGCAAAACAACTAATAAGTGAACATAATAAAAAATAATACATCAAAAATATTTTCAAGATAAAGACAAATTGCAATCTAAGTAAGAAAGACGGCCGACTTAAATGGATAGGTAAGAAAAACTATTACTAGTTCATAAATAACACGCCAATATTGCATCTATTGCTGTGTTTACTTGTGAGTTGTGAGGTTTTGAATTTTGAATGGAAATAGTTGTTTGATATGATATAAATATATTTTGATGTGATTTTTTTATTATAAAATTAAATTTTTTTGTAATAAAATAAATAAAAATTGAATGTTTGAATTTGATATTTTTGAAAGAAAGAAAAAGTTAAATAGTAAAAATGATAGATAAGTAAACATAGCCTATTTGTTTATTGAAATTTCAAACTTCCATTTTCATTTATTGTAGTCCTTCTCAATTGAATTGTAGCTTGTTAGTATATGATAAGGTCTCACTCCCACCCATCCTTGCAATTTATATATGATATGATCTCCTAAGATAAGATCTTTTCCCTTAAAAAAATCATCTAAGTAGGGGACCCAAATTAACTTTAAAACTACTACTAAATACTACTCCTTCCTACCCATTTATCATGTGCACAGTGTCATTTCTGTCCATCTCATATTTCATATTATTTTTTTTTTAAAAAATAATTACGCACTTTAATTTCATTTTAAAATTTTTATTTTATAATTTATTTATTTTTAATTAAACTAATTAGTTATCTTAATTTTATTTTTAATTATTCATATCATATAATAATTATTTTCACTAATACATTCTTATTTATCTATTAATTAAAAATATCTTAAATTTTCGTATTTACAGTAATTCGGGAGGGAGAAGTAAATGATATTAACAAGCTTGAAGAAGTGAAATAGTTTACATGACTTACTTGGATCTCAAAGAATTCCTAGTTCCGCCCATGCTTCCTATCTAAAAGTTCCGGTCAACTATTAAGGCGCATTTGGTACAGAGAATGGAATTGGAATAGAATTTGAGAGAAATAGAATTGAATAGAAAATGAGAATTAATTCTCTTATTTGATAAAATAGAGAATTCATTTGAGAAATCTAAAAAAAAAAATATAGATATATAAATGAGAACAAAAATAACTGATTAATCCGATAAAAAGAGAGTTTTAACGAATGCATTCATAAAAAATATTTTTGATAAATTTTTTTAAAAAAATTTATAAATTATATACGATATTTTTTAAGATTATATTTTAGTACAATTTCTTAAAATATCGTAAAAATTAAATACTTTAAAAACAAATTAAATTTGTTTTTTGTAAAATTTAAATAATATAATTTTTTAAAAATTATAAAAATTAAATAGTACAAAAAAATTTTAAAAATTAAAAAAAAAACATATACTGCAACATCATTTCTCTCAATTTGAGAAATGATACTATTTTCATTTCTCTGGCCTCATTTCTATGTACCAAACACAACTTAGGTTATCAAATATTTTCACTTTGGATTTGGTGTTTGGTTTATTCATCCTCATGCAACCATACGAGTAAAACTCCTCTACGTTTCTAAACCATTGCCTCAATTTACATAGTCAACAATAACTTTTTAAAATAAAATTAAATTAAAAAAAAAAAGTCACACCTAATATATAATTTTTTCTTTTTTTAGAAAATAGTACAGCAAATACGCGTGACCAACAATCAAGATATTTTCCTCTACTTGCTGCATCAAAGAAAACAAAATTGCAGGCTTAAAAAAAAACAAACAAGCAACTCTAGTAAGATTTGTAATATAAATTCCTTCATATCTTGTGGAGATATAAGATGTCATTTTAGAACTTTATTTCCTAGTACCATGGCCAAAATAAACTGTCTCCAACATCTATCTCCAGTAATTATTTATTTTTTTCTAGTTTGAAATTTTTTCAAAACTCTAAAACTTTCGATGTAAATGGAGACAACTCTTAGAACCCAAGATTCTTTCTTCTCTATTCAAATAGTATATTATCCCATATATACACCCTATAATACCATACCATTTTCACCTTCCCCTAAGCTAAGGAATGCATATAGATATATGTGTGTGTGTGTGTATGTATTACAGCAGCAGAGGAGATGAGAGTCACATAAACAAGACAAAATATGACATCAAAGATACCAAATAAACAAAACAAATAACAATTGAAGGTAGTAAGTATGCATGGCTGTACAGACAGCAAAAATAGGCAGTCTTTAGGAGTTGCAAAATAGAGGGCTCATTTGAAGTTAACAGCCACGATTCAATTTCACAGACAGAATATACATTATAATAACAAACATTATGCGAGCATGCTACACGTTACCTAACTTAATTGTTGTTAGTACTAGCACTGGTTCTGTTCCATTGGAATTCTGATCGACCCCCAGCTCTCACCTCCGCTCCACGCTGCAAAGAGCAAACAGAAAAAGAAAGAACAAGGATGTTACGAGAAACATCAATGACAAGTGTACATATGGTTGACATTTTTGATCAGGAAACTTTGCCTTTCGATGGCTGCTCTATCCAGGGACCATTCATCACAGTAAGAACGCTGCATGCATCACTGTATTCTAAATTTGGCAGCAGTTTCGGTGTGAGCAAGAAGCACCTACATGGGAAGCCATATCATGTCAAATTGTGCACCGTTGTCATTCATAATAAAAACCAGCTAAGCAATGTTGATAAACTGAAAGTTCTAAAATGGCAATTGCTTACTGTGGTGTATTTGGCTGGCTGGCTGCTCTGACCAACTGCTGGAACATTTTTCTTTCGTTTATAGGGTCCATGCCTGGGGGACATATACGAATATTTGTTATCACTTCCATTCGATAAAAGAATTGAGTGAGAAATGTAAACTAGAGCCAACCTTGATTAATTTCATCCACTACTCTAAAGGGGCAATTTGTAAGGTCCTGCAATGAGACTAGGTAGAGAATGGTCGAAACAGACCTCTCCTGGAAATTGGAGGTCATAAACAGGTTAAAAGCTGAAAGGCTGCAGATTAAAGATTGCATTCATAATAAGAAATTAAGACTAAGCGTGTGTACCCCTCCAGATTGATGGTGTGCACTTAAAACCTGTAGCTGTCCCGTTTGCCTGAGTGCAACATTGGAAACCATAGAAACACAAGAAACCATTAAAGAAATAAATCAAATTCGAGGGACTCAAGAACTCAGGGAACTGAAATTAAGACAGAAGGTAAGTTTGTTTACCTGAACTTTACTTTTATCAGTATGCCATATTGATCAAAATCAGTATCTCGTTCATCTGAAAATTAGCATATCAGTAAAAGAGTGTACATGACCTTAACTGGAACAGTGGAAAGCACCTCAAATGAAATTATTTAATCACAGAAATTACCTAAAGACACCTCGCCGGCAACAGCCATTTCTTGGAAATTTCGACTGAAAGTTTCATTTATCCGAGACACAAGACTTCTCAATGTTGGGAGCCAACTCGACTGTAGATAAGTCAAAACGAAAATACTTGATTGTCATTTGTCTGATGCATGAGACTCCAAAATCATCCTCTCTTCTATTTAATTTTTTTAATAAATGCTCAATAATGTGAAAGCATGGGGTATGTAATACAAGAAGATAATTTCTATTGGTGATTTATATCCAACCTTCAGGTCATCAATTTCAGCCAATCTGCTATTTAATTCCTTCTCATCTGATTCTTGTTTAGCTTTAAGCCCTTCAATCTGCACAATCACCATTTAATTAAGTTATATAAACATAAGTTAAAACAGAACTACCAGTCATGAATTTTCAAAGAGATATAAATGTACTTTTCTTTGGCGGTTTTCATATTCTTCCAAAATGTTATGGTTAAGAAAGAGGATAGAATTGGCTTCAGATATCGTATCTTGGATTGCAGCTTCCAAATCTTCCACAGTGGTAGGCATCTGCAGGTAGTATTATCACATGATAAGCACAAGCAGACTACATAAACTATCTTCCGACGCAACTAAAAATTCCACAGAATGATCCATGAACTAAAATAGTTGAACTAGGATGATGTAGTTCAAGATGAAACAGCATAATAGCAATGTATTCAATTACAATAATCAGAACTTTGAGGATTGAATATCTAAGAACCACAGGACAAGTGCTCGGAATTAAGCATCCCTATCCAGGAAAACAGAGCTAAGACACATTTAGGGTGTGTTTGTTTGGGGGATTTGGTTTTGGGATTTGAATAATAAAAATTTTGAATTTGAATAATTGTATGATATAATATAAATAAGTATTGATGCGATATTTTAAATGTAAAATTAATTTTTAGTATAATATAAAAAGTAAAAAATAGGTGTTTGATTTAATATTTTTTGGAGGAAAAATTTTGATGAATAGTAGAAATTTGAGAAAATGTTATAAACAAACACACCTTAGGATTTTGCAACTGAGTAGAATTTCTTATAATGGAAATTTACCAAACTTGTTCATTAATTCAAAGAACACTCAACTTTGGAGAGATGTGTGCTCTGCTTTGAGTTGAGGAAAAGTATAATCTCCCTCTCCCTCGTTGTCACCAAATTTATATTTAGGCACTTTAGCTGCTGTATTCTATTAGTTATAGTGGGAAAACTTGCAATAACATAATAGGCTGCTTGCAAACACAGGGTTTCACTTCTGAGAATATGACGAAAAAACTAGGTTCTACATAGAAACCCATCTATGAACTCACTCTATTGCTTAGATTAACTTCAAGCAGGCTGAAGCTGGATTCTATACACAACATTCCAAAAATATTTCTCTCTCCCCCTTCTTCCTTTTTTTAAAATCTTTTTCCTCTGAAGGAGTGGATAGCACATGCATCCAGTATTTTACAGGATCATCACAAAAAAATTTGATCAAGATCAACACTGTGTTAAAATGGGAAGCTCATTTATGAACATTGCCTCCATATATTTGATTCATTTAATTATCTTTCACATGCTCTTAAGTTGCAAAGATCTATGGAGAGAAAACCTATTTATTTTAACCTCCTCAACTTAATAAATATATAACAATTAACAACATACAAGTTTGAGCAACCATGCAGCATTTATCTAAGCCCCTAAAAGCACTCCACAACAATCAGAAAACAAACCTCTAGGAAGGCTTGCTTCAGCTCAGGAGTGATCTTGGCAACCGAGTCTGCATACTTCTTTGCATCTGACAAATTCTGTCGGCAGTTTTCCAATGCATTTTTACCTAATCAAACGAGCAACAAAAATGTAAAAGTTTGAAATAGCAACATTAATGAAACGTATTCTTTTATAATAAAAATGTTTAGCCAGTTAGTGCCATCCAACAGATAATAGAATATATATTCACGATAATCAAGTAGTCAAATCAAAATAAATAAACAAAAACGGTTCTTCAAGTCGGACTAACATGTAGCAGAAAGTGTTTCCGTCGAGCTCACTTTGGATACAGTTCTACAGAACAAAAAATCTCCCCTTCTCAAAATAGTTGTTGCATGCGACGCATCAAATGCTATCGATAGATCTAGGGTTATTTACCTCCCTGATAGGTAAATTTCAACATAAACAAGCTCCATTTTTCAATAGAAGAGTGTCTTTTCATCATTGTCCAACATATCCCTCGTAGTGCAATGAGGTTGCGGATTATTTTGCTAAGCATAGTGCAAAAGGGGATGTAGAACTATCTGCCTAACTTTAATAACTAAGGAGCATCCGAAACCTTTTATCTTGTACTCTATCCATCAAAGCTGTTCTATTTTGTATTCTACATAGTCCCCAAATAACAAAAACAAAAGTCAGAATACATTTTTCTAGAAATTTAAACACAATAGAAAAACTCAACAAATCAAAGCAAGCGATGAAAAACCCTAAACCCTTGAGTTGAACATAGGCCCATGAAATTTTGAAGCTTAGAGCCTCAGTCTTCAAGAGTCATATCTGGGAAACATTGAATCCACAACAAAAGCTTGGTGTAATAGAATAATTCTCACTTATAACATAGTTTTACTCTCGCTAACCCCCAAAAGGAGAGTGGTCTCAAGTAACATCCTAAACATGCTGCAAACTTGCAATAACAAAGTACAAGTGAGATTTCACTAATTTGTGGGTGAGGAATTCTTGACATCCATTTTTAAGCATTATATCATGGTACATAATATATGCTTTTAAAGCACGCATCCGCAGTTCAAAGAAACATCCATAGTGTTTAGATATGTTTGGGAAGTGTTTTGTTATTTTGGAAAGTTTTTTGATAGAAAAAAATTGATATAAATAAAAACTTAATGTTATGCAAATAATTATTGAATGTGATATTCTAAATATATACATGTACACCCCCTCCGTCCGCAAACTTATGGAAGTTTTCTTAAACACGGAAACTAAAAAATAATAATATTTTAATATTAAAATGGGATAGGTAAAAAGTAAATAAGGGATATTATAGGAAATTTATTAAAAAATCGATAAAAAGGTGATGGGTAAGTGAAAAAATAATAGCACATTGGTATTATTTGTTAAAAATAAGGGTAGAAAAATTGTGGGCGGATAAAGTTGTTTATTATAAATGTAATAAATATAAATTTAGCGGACAACCAAAAGAAAGAAATAGTGATATAATTAGCGGATGGGGGAATGAAATGAAATTTGGTATAAAATGTACTCCCTTCGTCCAATTTTAAAGGTCTCATTTACCTTTTGTGTCATTGTACATAACATTAAAAATATTCTTATATTTGTATAATTTTTTGCAGAAATGTCATTATAATAGTATTATAAGAGACTAATAGAAATATTTTTGCCCTTTTTCCGTAATTTGTACTATGTTTTCATATAATAATTAATATTTTTAAAGATCAACACGCAAAAAGTAAATGAGATCTTTAGAACCGAACGGAGGTAGTAATATATTTAGACAAGAAATTTTTTTGATAAATAGTGCCAAAAAATGCAAAACACCAGCCTAATTAATTCATTTGAGCAATATAGGGTAAAAAAAGTTACACTCCCTCCATCATCCAACTTTGTGCTCAAACATGTGGGCACACGTTTTTTAATGATAAAGGGTAATAATTGATAGTTTTTTTCCTTTTATAATAATAAAATTCATGAAATTGACATAATTTTTGACTAAAAAGAAAAACAAGAACATTTTTTATGACAACCCAAAACAAAGAGTGAACATAAATTTGGATAATAAAGGGAGAATTATTTAAAATTTCTTGAGCATAGTGTCTTGTCAAATCTATATTTTCTTCTCTTTTTTAAAAAAAAAAATAAAGTGACAAATTTACACCTTGTGGCTGATGAAGGGTGTTTCTAGCTTTTGGTTTTCCTTAATAAATAGAAATTACACTGCCTAGATAATTTTGAAGCTTTTTTCATATTAAACACCCAATTTTGTGCATGTTGAATAAGTAACACCCACAAATAGCGTTTTTACTGATACATTCCTTAAGAGCAATCAACATGCTTGGGACAAGTCCAATTTAATATTCTTTTATTTCCTCCTAGTAGAATAAGATTTCAAGGTTGAGATGCATCATAAGTTTTCCTTAAAACTTCAATATGTAATTGGAAGGAAAGCAGAAAGTTGAATTTTTTTTATTTTCTTGTTTTTTATCTCATAAAATACATAAAGCTGCATTCTCAATACACAACATAGGGCGACTAAGAAACATATTGCCAGGGAACCAGTTCAAAATAGAAAAAACTTTAGAACCGGAACAAAGTAACACTTACATTGATCCAAATACAAAGATGCTTGCACAGCAGCCCTTTCTTGTTGTTTCACATTGGATTCCATGTCCTTAATCTGTATTAAAAGCAAATTACCATATCAGAAACCTCAAGATAAAAATCAATTGTATCTAATTATTGATAACGTTGGTTGATGCACAATGCGCCATTGGCATGTAAAGTTGACAGTGAAGCAATAACAGTAAACTGCCATATTCACTAGGTATAACAACGAATTACTCAAAAAGCACTATGAAAATAAGGTGTACACTTCCTATTATAGATCCATGATTAAGCTGCACCAGCGATTGGGTTAAGGATTTCCATGACCTGTGAAATTACAACCTAGATCTAGCCAATGATGCCTTGTTTAATTGCAGGCTGGAGTTGAGGGAAAGTCACTCTTGCATGTAACAGCAGGCCCTAATAAGTTGAAACTAGTGAGCTTATTATAGAAATAATGAACAATAGTGAACCCCAAGAATCAACACAAATATAAAAGTGGCCTCAAACACACTGAAAAGATATTGAAGGTGATTCAATCATCCCCATTCACATACCCACAAATCAGAATTCAAAACTATCATAAGATAGTCTTTCAAGTGGTGAGGGAAAGCACTGACTACTAGAAAGTAGAAACGCACTTAATGTGAAAGACTTGCTCATATCACTTGAAGCATTTCCAAGGCATTTCAGCATATCACTAACTAGAAAACCCCAACCACAAAAAAAATAAATGAATAAATAAATAAATCTACTTGCTTTGATACATCATGATTCCTAGGAATTACATAGCTGAGTAAAACCAAGGGTGAGGCAGCAACCAATTGAATAATTTGTCAGTGACATAACTAAAATGCAGACAATAAGCAATTTCAGAAATTAAAACATTGGAAATTTTGATATTTTAAGCAGCATTTACTATATTGCAAAACTGCATAAAAATATCTTATGTGCCATCAAACATCTTATATTGTCATACAAAACTTGTAATCTAAGCCCTCATGACCATGTCAATTATTTCTGCTAGGATAAACAAAATTCTAGTATCTATAAATGGCAAATTACATAGAGATATAACACAGCCGGCATTTGCTAATACCAATGTGAAGAAGTGGATCATACCTTAGCTTCAAATTCAATGCAGAACATATTAAATTCCGCTAAACCTCGTCGGCAAGCAACAGCTTCAATAAATAAATCCTACCAAAACAAATGGTGAGACAAAAAACTAACTAATAAATAAATAAAAAACAGTAACATGAAGTAAGAGATTATAGTGCCTCACAATAACTACATAAGAACATTTAGAGAGCTTAAAATAAGCACTGTCTTACCTTAAGATCCATCAAACATTGGAATCGCTTAATCTTCAATTCGGTAATATGGTCATTGAGATTTGCTATCAAAGAATCAGAGTCATCATCCCTTTCTAGCGACTTCAACTTTGTTCTATATTGGACTGAAAAAAGTAGTTCTCTGATTATATGCTCATAAGAATATAATCATTTCACAGAGTATCAATATTTTTACTTACCAACAAGGTTCTCTGCTGTTTTTAATTTTCTCTTCATTTTTTGTGAAATTTCAACAATCTCCTCCTGTATAATTTCCACAAATTGTCAATTAAATTCATAAAGATGCAAAACTAAATTGTTAATTAGATGGCCAGTGTTGAGAAATGAGGTATACATGGATCAAAACTTATATATTTTCCTCCTATTGTAAGAACATCTAGATTATTTTAGACGTTCTCCAGACTTAATTAGACTGAATGCCTTAGAGCCAGCACTTATCCAAAATGCTCCATGACAGCATAATTTGCCATGTAATTGGATTAGTCTCCATTATAGCAGGTAGTCTATATAGAGGTTGTCAATGCTCCAGGACAGCACTATTTGTTATGTAATTGGATGGTTGTTGATCATTGGGAGATTGGATTATCCCAGGAGAAACTGTAACAAACCCAGGGTCTTTAAGATAGAGGTGATAATACGACATCAATCTACATATGATAATAGAATTATGCTCCAAATAAAACTTCTCAACAGTGGCTAAATGTTCCAACCTTGAGGTAAGTTATGTAATTGGAACAATAAAACTAGCAAGGTAGACTTATGCTAAGGGGATAAGGAATGCAAAATGTTGTGAGATGGATTTGATCATTACCCTATGCATACTGTAAAGTATAGCATTTCACGGCTAACGGGTCAACTACTAATGCTTATTTTTCTTGTCATACATGGGGATATGGAAGAGATTACTACATATAACTGCTGAATTTATAGTTCTCAATAGTTGAAACAGAATAATAATATAGACAACATATTCAAGTGTGCCTTCTATATCATCACCATAGGAGACGCAACAGACAGTGCATCACACATGAAAATAAAAACTCCCACGAACCTTCTACCTACTTATCCAAATAAATCAATCATAAAATTTTATAACTAGTACTTCCACTTTCTTAGTGGAACAGGAAACACTTTCTTACATATTAGAAAGAAACTCTGCATGCATAGAACAACAAGCCAGATATTGACCAGCATAATGGTGATATCAGTAGAAAGCCCACATCTTGCATCCATATAGGCAGAAATACTCAACTATAATCAGAATTCCACAACACTAACGTATGAAACTTCGTGTATAGCACACTGAATCATTAATCTGAAACGTATTTCTTTCTCAAAGAGAAGATGCACAAATATTCACATTTAATGAAGTTACTCACTACAATTGAGTTGTCGGGTACCCCTTCAGCTAATGCTTCTAATGCTTCTAACTTGTAAGATTTTTAGGCAGCCAATTCTATAGAATTGAAAAATTTGTTCTACAGCTATGCCTGACACGAATGTTTTGGCTTAATCAGAGAGTTCAAAGTGTTCTTAACATGTAAGCACGTGTGTGCATGTATTCACTTACTCGTTCACGCTGAAGTCCACCTGCTTCATCTTCTTTTTGCCTCAAGGCAGCTTGAAGAGCTTTCAGATCTACCTCAATAGTAGATATCTTCTCCTGCAGCTCTAATTGCCTTGATTTGACATACTCGATCTCTTTAACATCCGAATCTGAAAATAAAGGGAAAATATCAAAACTTCAGTAAACCCAACCTTACTTCAGAATTCAGATACCTAAGTTTATCCTTTATCGCCCAGAAGAAATAATCACAACAATCAGTTTTTCCTAGGCAAACTGAATATATATACATATATATATGCTAAACTTTTGGATGCTATGTTCACCATTAGTATAAATACATCATGTCACATAAATATAATCAGCACGAAATTAACTTGAATTGACATGATTGGGTATAAAAACAGGAAAGAGGATCAACAGAATGATGAACATACTGCACAGAAGCAGACGGGAGCGATCTACTGATTCAACATTCCCAGACACATGATTCCCATAGCGGGATCTCATCCAACGATAATGATTCTCAGGTGTCCAGACATCCATAATTCCCAAGTTCAAGACTAGATCAGCCTTTTCATCAGTTTCTTTGGACCCAATATACTGAGAAAACAAATATAAGAAGAGATTCTGTTAGATTGAATAACTTAATTCATAAAGAATCACTTTTTCATAATCATCCTTAAATCTAATCCTGCCATCAATTGTATAAAAAAGTATGCATTGTGTACAACATAAACTAGTAATCATACTGAATGATTCAATCCAAATTGAGTTATCAAAACTTCTTTGACAGCATAGGGAGCTTCAAATACTTGGTCAAGCCTGGAAGATATTCCGATTTTACACATCTGTTCAATACAACATAAGAGTATCAGCTCAACAGAGATATGGTGCCAAATTTCCAATGAAGTTAGAGCAATACTTGGTCAGATGGTTGAAAGGACTCCCTATGGGAAGCTTCATTACTGACATGATTAATCACCGGAACATCAAAAGACCTCAGATTTCTAACTAGGACATCGCGATCCTCAGAATCCTGAGTTATAAAAGCCTGAAGGAGGTAACAGATCATGTAAAGTGAATATATAGATGTATAGGAAATAAGCCTAACTAGAACACAGAGTCACAATTTAAATTTTGCCTATTGATATGCATGATTATAGGTCAACATCAGTTAACTAATTGTTAACAGGATTATACTGAACATCGAAAGGAAATACCAATACAATTGAAGAGCTCTATTGGCTAAATTAAAACTGATTGCAAGATTCCTTGTCATTTCATTTATATCATATTGTTACTGCTAATTATCTAGGTGAAAACCTACCATCCAATTAATTACTTATATTGACCTTGAGGTATGCCCTTTACACTCCCATCAACTTCTTGCTTAAACCAACAACCAGAACATCTTGTCACCTCTCCCAGGTTACTATTCTAATTTGACCCCACTAATATTGGAGATATTAGCATCAAGGATGCAAATGTCGTGGAGATCCTGACATTGTTCAAAATCTTCAAGACATGTACTAATCATCTTCCAACACATTCCCAGGAGCACAAATGAAGACGTGTACTACTTTGCAAAGCAGGGTGCTAGGGGAAATGTTGAGCTTCCTCTGTGATTGTAGCCTAATTATCTCTCCCATCTCTACTGATAAAATCTTTCTCCTTTCCAGAAAAGTAAATACTGGTGATATCAATATAAGATCATTGCAAGCCAAATTTGAAGCAAGAGTTACTGTTGGTTAAACATTATGTAATTAACCTTCCTCCTTATTAGTAATATTTTTACAGGAATAAGATTTCAAGATTTGTCAGTATATTATTTCCAATAATAGTACAATAACATTGTGGGTATTATTTTATTCTATTTAAACAACAAAATAAGCACCTTCCATTATGAGATCATTATTGATAAGCATTACCTTCCATATGTAATAGGCAACATGACCTTCTAGGTAGTCAGCATGAAGCCGGTTGGTGACATTGACCTGAACATTAAGCAAAAAAGGGTTATCTCATATCAAAATCCTCCCTTATAGTATCATGTTCAAACTATGATAGCAAATGCAATACAGTATTAAATTTCCATCTCATTTTAACTTCCAACCTCCAACAATACAGGACCATAAACTTCACGGTTGAACTTGCTGCGGTGCTCCTGAACCCATCGATAAGCCTCAAATATCTTCTCAGCACCCGAATTTTTTAATGCTTGTAAGCGCTTATTGTTGGCATTCTCCATCTCTTTCAACCTTTTGGGTTATACAAGGAATGGAAAAAGGCCGTTAATACTGATCAGTATATAAAGAAAATCTGGGCTAAGTATTGATATAGACCTGTCCGAAAACTGCCTTGATGCCTGTTTATGCTCATGTAGGAGCTTCTCCTTCTCTCTTTTATCAAATCTGAGCTCTTTTGCAGCCTCTTCTAACTCCATTATCCGAGCACCTAGTTGTTCCTGGTATATCAAACCGAAAAGGTAGAAGGAAGCCATAGAATCATTTAGACTCAAATAAACTAAAAACTCCAAGTTATATTAAAGTAGTATTACACAATCTACCAACCACTCTAATCATCATCAGAGATGATTAGGGAAAGAATGTTTAACCCACCATCTTATGCTTAGGAGGTTCATATGGAGGAAGACATGCAAGTTCTTTCTCTGCAGCAGCAAGCTCCTCCTTAGCCTTACTAATTCTTTCCTGACGTGTCTCTTCCTGATGCCTTAATTCTTCCACTTCTCTGTATTTCCCCGGTATTACCGCTTCCTAGAGATTTAAGGCACAAATTAGAAGTGAAGCTGCAAGAAACAAGAAAATCAATATGTAAGAAACTAATGTAAAATTTGTTAACAAACCAGGTGGTTGTACTCGTCCATAAGCTGCATACGATGCTTTACGTTGCGATCGGATAAACAATTTAATTTTTTCAATTTAGCCTCGTAAATCGCCTTCTCTTGCTTTTGTTTCCTGAAATCCAAGTAGTTAGGGCAACCTAAAAAAGGTTGTAACTAGAAACGGTATGTACCAAAACGAACATAAAATTGGACTTAGAAAAAAAAAGTAGGGTTGTGTTCTTTGTGGGTTTTACCACAAGTTTTTACTATTCAAATTTTTTTTTTCCCTCAAAAAATATCAAATCAAACAATTACTTTTCTTTTTTTATATTATACTACAAATTTATTTTACATTTAAAACATCACATCAATATCTATTTATATCACATCAAACAACTATTCAAAATCAACTTTTTACTATTCATAAATCCGAACCCAAAAATCCAAACCCACAAACAAACACACCCTAGCTTTTTTTGCTCATGTTTCCTAAAGAACAGATTGTATGACTAACAAGATAGGGTGCAACGAGCACTTGAAAATACAAAAAAGTAAAAAGTTTGATAGATACAGTAAGTAGAAAAGGCACCTTAGAGTTTAATGAGACTCCAAGTCTAAAAACATTGCTGATTTAATCCACCACTTTATCAAGAGGAACTTTTTGAGAAACAATAATTTAATATCAACTACCTTAAAAATTGACACACATCTGAACATTTGCATGGAAATCCACACCGAGCTCAAAATAGTCACTTAGATTTAGTTTTGGCTTTAATCTATCATTAGGCGGAATATATAAGTATAACTACTGAAAGCTTATGCCCATGCTCCTATATATGGCCAAATTGGAACAAATTGGTGAGAGACAACCTGTGCATATTGCCTCGTCCATGGTAGGAAATGTTCAAACACAAGAAAAATGAAGGTTTCCAAGTTCATGAGTTTTAGAAAATATCCAACCAAAAATTGAATCTCACACATTTTTTATAAAATATATTGCGAGGGTAGATTAACTCACTCAATGGGTTGTTTAAGTTCATTCAAAATATTTGCAGCTTCATCTAGCTTCTTCTTTGCATCGGTCTCCTGTTTTTTAGCTTGCATGTACTCCGCCTTCTTCATATCATACTTCAGCCATGGCAACTTTTTCTTCATGCGCTCAGCCTGGAAGCACGAGAGCGATAGCCCATCACTTCATACATTGAATCAATTGGCCCAGCCATCATAGTAGAAAAGAAATGTTTATCACACCTTCGCCAAGAGATCTTCTCTTTGTCGAACACGGTTAACATCTCTTTCTAATTCAGCATTAAGAGCCACTAACTGATCCAGAGACCCTTTATTGCTTTCGACAGCCTATTAGAAAACAAGATACAGTGTTTATATTCCTCAACAGACAGCATTCTTATGGAAGTCCATGCAACAGACAAAGCACAAGAACACATGACTCACCCGTTGAAACTTCTTCAGTTCCTGACTCTTTGTGATTAGGGCCTGATGCTGAATGGGTAATCTGGGATCTCCAACAGCTTTTTCAGTTTCTTCAAGTAGTTGAATCGGAGATAACTTTGCAAACTCACAAACTCTGTCTTGAGGTAGAAACTAAAACCAATCCAAATAAATGGGAAATGCTTATAAATATTTAAAAGAATAGAAGTAATATTCAACTACACTACAAAATTATTGTTTCGGGATAAAGTGAACTACAAGTAAAGATCAAAAGGAGCCGAAAGAATGGTGAAACTTTTTCAGAAGGATGAAGATATTACACCAGTTTAACAGAAAAACATTTGATTATATCTAACAAATTGTTACACAGATAGACAGCCAATATATAAGTAACAGAACATAATAAAAAATAAAATAAGGCATACTTGAGTCAAATTATTGACTTGAATGTTGAATCTTTGAATCACCTCAATAATCTCCTTTTTAGTTACCACTTGGCCTGAAAATATATAAAAATAAAAATAAAATAAAATAAATAAATAACAGAAGTCAAACATCAAGCACTCAGTTTTCATATTTTTCATCTGACGAGGTATTAAACTTGCAAAATTAAGACAAGCATGACAAAACTCAATCCCTTCCTTTGTGTGTAACCAACCAAAAAGTATCATCACGATATAACATCAACCCAATGAGTAATTTTTAGAATAAAATAGGGGGCTAGCAAAAAGCAGAATGCTAGTTCCCAGTGAAACTCTACTTATTGAATTGTCAGTAGCAAGAAATCATCATAAGATGATGGGTGAGGAAACTCATGCACTTGACAATGGATTCTCATATTAGTTGCTTAAATAAACAAATAATATAGTGTCTCACCTTGATAGTATGCAAAAATGTAGGTGCTGAGATAAAATTTTGGGGATCAAATTTGGTTGGTTGCAGGATATCAAGCAACTTACCATTAAACAACCACTCAGACTTGTTGCGTGTATCTATTCTCCTTAGAATGGTAATTGGCTGCTCCTTGCGTTCTCCTCTCAAAGAAATCTTGATATATCCAGATTCCTCCCCACGCTTCACATAAGCCCCAACACTAGTGGCCCTCCCCAGAAGCTGTGTAGAAAACCAAATTAAGATATATGACAAGACAATGCACATGCAGTAGAAAACAAAAAAAAAATATAGGAAAATGAAAATGATTTTTTTCTCACCTGAGGTTCACCACCAAGTCCAAGGGCAATGGCACATACAAGAGAACTTTTTCCAGATCCATTTGGTCCTATAACCAAATTCAAGCGGGAGCCTGGTTTGCAGGTCAGTTTATTGAAGGTCATGAAGTTACAGAGCTCAATTTTAGTAATATTTCCTGGCACGTAGTCATCATCCCCCCTACGAAGAAGCAAAACAAGAAGGAAAATCTTACAAATATAAATCACCGTCATGATACATATCGCAAACAGGTCCTCAACATTCGAGGGGTAAAATAGTAGTATAAGAACATAAAATAAAATAAGAGCAATTTGAACTGAAAGTCACAAACAATATAAAACGAGAGAAACATATTCTCCAAGTTACTTTCTATATATTTCAGCAACTACCAGTTAACACATTGAACAAGCATTCCGCTCAACTCTTCCCCTCAACTCTTCCCCTTGAGCAGGAGAGATGTACTTAAGTTTTTTTATTACAAAAAAACATATCGGCAAATAATAGGTCAAAAAATGAAAGGTGGGATTAAAAATCAATCCGCCAATTGTAATACCAGTACAATACCAAATCATCAGGTTAAAAATATACAAGTCCAACAGATAGTTAAGATTAACTGCTAAGGCGCTAAATCATTCCCTGAGAGAGGAGCATGTATAGAAAGTGCAATGTTGCCCAAAAGATGACAGACTCTGACCAAATTGAACGTCAACTACAACGAAAAGGCTGACTTTGAATTACTAAGGACAGTAGCTCATCCACTACAGAAAGAAGCACAAATCTGCACCAAAGTTACTCAACAAGAGAATGGGGAACCTCGGGAGAAAAGGTAATTCAATATTTGTACACAAAGTAAAGATTTTGTCAATGCCATCAACATACTGGAACATAAACACAAGAAAAATTAAGTACTTCACAGAAATTATATTCATTAACAAACCAAAGCAACCAGTATAAGACATTGAAATACAATCAAACCAAAATTGCAGTTTCCCCTCCAATGAGCGTCATCACAACAAATCTCCCATTAATAACCATATGTTCGTGCTTCTTCAAATTTGGGAAGCGCGACGCACGCGCATCAAACAAGCAAAGTAAGTAAAGACCAATCCAAGAAAGAGCGAACCCAGACGCAAAACAGAACAACAGATAAACGAACGAGGAAATCTTAAAACAAACTGCGAACAGTAAAAAACCTGGAAATTTTCAGCCTTTTGGCTTCTCGCTCGGGAGCCATCGGGTAGTGTAGCCCGGCGAACTTTAGCTTCCGCAGCCAAACACACTACTTGCGTCGAAGTTGGGGTTTCTGACTATACGTCTCGAGGAAGGAAGAGTGAAGACCGACTCGACATCGACATGATTGGCCGGAGCCCTCGCCCTCGCCCTCGCCCTCTGCAATGGCCAATATGTGTGAGAATGGGCGCCAAAAGAGTATGCACGTGATGTATGCAGGTTCGGCATGTGTGGGACGGAGAAAGAATTTGACGAATCTAAAGGACTGAAAAGAAATTTAAGGATGGCGACGACCTGTGTATTTTTTATTGCGTTTTGTGAATGTATTTACTCCTGTCCTAATTAAAGTGTTTCCATACGGTAGACACCACTCAATTATAATTAATAAATAATTAAAAAATATATTAGTAAAATTAATTATTATATAATAAATATAATTATAAATAAATATTAAAATAATTTAATAATCTAATTCAAATTAAAAAATTATAAATTATAAATTTTAAAATGTAATTAAAATGTATGTTCTTTTATTCTTTTATAAGATTTTCTTAACAAGCTAATTATTCAATAAATTTTTTCTTATAAAAAATATCAAATCAAAAATTTATTTTTTATTTTTTATATTCTAGATTTATATTTAGATTTCTTCTTATCTATAAATTAGATTATTTAGATTTTAGTTTATCGAGTCTGTTATGTATTACATATATATATATACACACAATTTCATTATTTTCCTCCAAAAATTATAACATGGTATCAAAACCTATTTTTCTCATCCCGTAAATATAGCCTACCAACCCTATTTCTTGGTATAAGACAATTTCATTATTTCTCTCATAATTTATAATATTGTATCAAAGTCTATTTTTTATAATCTATCTACCCGCGTTTCTCCAAGTACATTCAACATGGTATGTAACCGGAGGTCTTACAATTCTGACCATGGTTTCTAGTCTTTTTGTTTTTTTATTTTAATTTGTTTTTTAAGTCCTGATTTTGTATACGATTGAAGTCATGTCTGCGATTCTACGATCTGTTTGCTGCATTTCTCCAAAGCCATATTTCTGATGCAACGAGAATCTTCTAATTTCCAGCTTTGTGGAGAGTAAAGTAAATTATACAAATATGAAAATATTTTTAATGTTAAACACACTGACGCAAAACACAAATTATACCCTTCTTATGGAACAGATATATAGTAGTATTTTATTAGTTAATGGAAGTGTGTAAGAGTTTGTGATATTTTTTTCTTTAACTTTATGTATAAAGTAATTATATATTTAATTGTATATTTGTAATTTAAGTAAAAGTTAAAAGGTATTTTAGTATTAGTGTATGATTAGTTTTTTAAAATAGTAAATGAATACTTTGAAGTAAGACGGACGAAAATAATAAAAATGATACTTTGAATTGAGACGGAGGGAGTATTATACTAAAAATTAATTTTACATTCAAAATATCACACTAATACCTATTTATATAAAGTCATATAACTATTTTAGTAAGAATTTTTACTATTCAAATCTCTACTCAAAATCTAAACCCCAAACAAATACACCCAAAGTGTATAATCATATTTTTTTTAAAAAAAAAAAACAAATTGACAACTAAGTTTCTGTTCAACTTGTGAGAGGTTTTGTATATTATTTTTAGCAAGAGAATTGAGTGGATGACTAGTTCTTTTTATTACTTAGTATCATGTTTGATTAGTTATATGCGATCATTTTTTCAATCCAATGTAATGACAAGTTTATTTTAAGGATATAATTCCATGATTAGTTATAAGCTTGTAATCAAGGACCTGGAATTCAAAATTGTTAATCTTATCCAATAGCATACATTAATCTATTAAAACAATATTAATGACTATTTTCCGTATTAAAAGTTTAACTTGATCTAATTTGGGAGAGATTTCATTTTGTAATCAAATGAATACAAAGCTTTTAAGGATCTAACTAATTAAGCAAATTATTGTTGTGTATAGCTTTGTGCGTGTAATTTTGGGGTTTAGGGTATAGATTTGTTTAGCTACCAAATTTGTATCATCAGTCTTCCATTCTTGTAACATCATATTGTTGCCTTTTGGATTTATGTTACCTTGAGTTTTAAGCTGCTACATGACTAAATTCTTTAGTTCAGGAACTTGTTAAGGCTAAACATCTTCAACTTTATTATAAGTCAAATTTTACATGCATTTTCGAGTAGACAGTGAGTATTTTTCATGGTTAAAATTTGAGCATGTCTCATCTCTCGGAATGTTCTAATTAATATTCTTGTTTTGTATTTGAAGTTGGGCTTCCCCAACTTAAATAGTTTGAAGTTGATGGCGTGTATAATGCCATGGTTATTGATCTTCTTGAGCAGGCCTGGAAGATTTATTAAACTATTGCACTAGGACATTTATGCTAAAGACCGTTCTAATGCTAGCTAATCAATTAGAATGTGCTACTCCGTTCTGCTAGATATTTTAAAGATTGATGCTAAACACCAAATACAAATGAGCATAGTTGAGTTAATGCACCCTACAGGTTTTCTCCAATCTTCATTGGGATATAAAGCCTTATAACTTCATAATAAGCTTAGTATGCTAAGCAACCAAGGTATCAACCTTTTTTTTCTCCAAGAAAAGGTCCTCAATATTTATTATGATATGCGGGATTTTTGAGAAAATTTTTATATCATGATTTCTCATCATTTATCTTAATATTATTGACATTGTATGATAGATAATTATAGTATGAATTTAAGTATTTCTTTAGTACTCCATAGGCCATCTTTTGTATTTTATATTAATTGCTCTTTCAACATATCATAATTTTATGAGTAAAAGTATTGTTGCTTTAGTTAATTGATCTATTTTCTACCTTGAAGCTATTAAAGTTAACTGATGTTATCAACATTTATTACTAATATTTTAAGCTTAAAGTTTTGATATGTGGCTTATTGTATTTTAAGTTAATTTAGACTTGTAAAACTGGTTATACTTATCATCCTTGTAACATGTGTATATAATTGATTATTATCTTGCAAAGAAATACAATGACTTTAAAACTCATAAGCATATATCATATATGTATTAATACCAGGCCATTGTTTGAGTATACATCTTTATACTATTTTCACTTTACAATTGAATTGAAGGAACTACTCTATATTTAACTAGCTTTTGGGCAAAGTTCTAATCAAAGTTCATATGTGCTATATCTTGCAATATTAGTTTGATATTATTTTTATTTTGCTATTTCCAGAACATTCTCTTCCCCCACCTGATATACTACAATGTTTATGTTGTTTGGTCTTATTTGTTTCTTAAAGTTATTTTATTGTTATAATTGAAATTCTTTGATAATTTTTTTTTTTCCTCTCATTTGGATCAATATATGCTATAATTATTCATCCATTTTAGATTTTCTTATCAACTAATTTACTGAAATGAGTTCTTTCTTTAGCAATCACAATATTTTTTAGATAATATGCAACTATTTTCTTTTTTGTGATGAAAAATAAAGTCAAAATCTTGAAGCACATGCTACATCATTTGAATATTTAAGAGTGGATAATTTTTTGTATAAATTTTTATGAACTAATTTCATAGATTTCTTATTATGTTTTATTGTGTGTGTATGGCCTCAATTCTTATTTCTTTTGCCACAAAAAGGCCTTTAATATTGGTAAGATTATATCTAAGTTGCAAGTGATTGAAGTTGGCGATCATCCTGGTAGATAAATCATCCATTTTATCTGGCTATATTATAATTGTGTGTTATTGATTACATATTGGGATTACATTGACAGTATTTTCTAATTTGTGACAACCTTTTTTAGGAACCGTCATTTACCAAAATGCAAGCAGATCTGTTTTTCCCTCCGGATTATGCTAATTACTTTCATGTGGTCATACAAGTTTATCATCTTGGCTAACTTTATATATGTATATATTTAGATGAATCTTATTGTTCATATGTCCCGTGCACTATAGCATTTGTATGTGATCCTGGAGCTATCCAACATTTAATATCACATTTGTACATCAACCACTATAGGTCAGTCAAACATGTTTGCATGTGAAGCTGTATTTGTTTTGGATTACATGCAAGATGTAGAAGCTACTCTGGCTTTAGAAGCCATTCATAATCATTACACTTTGCATACTATTATTCACCATGAGGTACATAATCTCTTGATGCCATTGGTGCACAATATAATTTTCATTCCTTACAAATAGTTTAGTATCCTATCTTACCCAGGAAGTATGAGAAAATTGTAAATTTTATTTTAGTTGAATTAAGAAGCTGATAATACTTCAATCTCATATTCATCTCCATTCTTATTGGTTGACCCTGCTGCATAAGCTCTTGGTTCTTTTATCCAATAATTAGTTAATTTATACAAATATCACAAGTTCTTGATTTCGAAAGTACTTATTTGTCTGCCACCTAAATGTCTTGTATATTTAGTTCTATTGAATGAGAATAGATATGACTGGTATGCTGTTCTTTTTTCTATTAGTAAACCTTGAGCAAGATTATGTTGTATTTTCTATTGTGAAATTCGTAGGTTCAGACCGTACTCTTCTAAACCTTGAGGTGTGTCGTCATGTACACAATATCTGAATTTTTTATCCATTCAACTTCTTGCATTGGTTAGTTCCTTACTTTATACACTTTTATGACTTGTTTGTTATTCCTTGCAATTTGAAACTGCTATTAAATCTTTCATATAATTTTCCTATCCCAGACAAATTAGACAAAAACAACTGTAGTATCTTGAAAATGTCTTCCTATTTTAGTCTCATAAATTATCAAAATTTGGTTTCAGTTTCACATAAAAGTTATTTTAATAATAGGTCAATTTTTTGTCATCTACTTATGTAATTTATTTGCTTGATAGGTGGATATAAATATTATGTCATACTACATCATATTATGTTCTTAATATGGAATTGCCTTCCCCAATTAATCTAAACAATTCCTAAGATTATGGGTGTCTTTTTGTTTTAAATGTTTTTGAGATAATGGTTGAAGTTTGATGTGATTTTTTTATTTACAATGAATACTCCCTCCGTCATGGGAGTATTATTAATTTTGAGGTAATGATTGTAGTTTGATGTTATATTTGTATTGATAATGAGTATAGGATGCCGTATTGAGGGTTTAGAGTTATAGTTTAATGTGATAGATAGTAACCATCTTCTTTGGCTT